AGAGAATCCATTGAAGCACAAACAAGAGATCAATTAACTGCCAGTTCGGAACAAAAACAACAACAACAACAACAGGAACAACCATCTTTCCTCGAGCAGCGTCGTTTCCTTTTGTTTTCCATCGACGCTCGACAGTCGCTCACGATTGTGCATTAATTGTTAAGAAGAAGACTCGACGAGGAGTTTTTTTTAATTTTGCGTCGATATATATTGTACATAATCACCGGTCGAAATAGGACTAATAAACGAACGATCGTTCCCGTCAATCGTCACGGTATGAGAAGCTAGGTATATATATAGATATATTATATATAAATCTATAAATATATAAATCGGCGTCGAGGAGATCCAACGATGCTGATCGTAGAAAGGAATTAAGTGAATGAAAAGAAGAAGAACGAAGAGTTTCGTTTCAGTCACCTATCACGGAAATAAAGAGGAGCTTTCCAGTTTTCTATCACGTGTCCCTTCCTTCTCGATCGATTTCCGTTTCCTGGTCGATCGTCGATCGACGCTCTCCGTTTTTGGAAGGGCAAACTTGTTACCGAACGTGACGTTTTCGTTCTGAGTAGAAATGTAGACATTCCGATGGCGGACAGCCGGAGAACGAAACTCTCCTTCCGGCTGGTTTCTGTCTCGATTTTCGTTTCCACCTTTCGTTCGAGGGAAATGCTTCCGGTTTCCATTGGTAGCAATAACAGGCGTTAGACGGCCGATCGGATTTAGGGAGAATCGCGCGGGAGATCGTCGGAATTCGGTCGATGCTCGAGTGGAATTAGGAAGAATTCATTGGGATCGTTGGATTTGTTTTATTATTAATTCTTTGTGGAGTGTTTATTAACACTAGGTTGCGTTAATTTGTCGCTAATTTTACAAGCTTCATTCAAATATTCATAAGTCTTGATTGAACCAATTGAGATGTGTCTCCTAATTATCTACTACAGCTCTAATTTCCAAGATCGAAATGATTCGTCTACAATAATGTAAATTATAATATTCGTCTAATGTTAATAAATTGATACTAAACGACGTTGATGATGTTACTGATGAAGTGAACTGCAATGAACATCGGTAAACCTAATGTTAATAAGTTGCTAATAAACGATATTGATGTTACTGAGTTACTAACGAACGAAACAGATGAATGATCTTAGAATTCTCATTGTAATCGAGGCGTGGACCGAATTCACCGCGGACGATCGGCTCGTCGCTTAGAAAATCGAGTTCCTCGGATGCTCGTTCGGGAAAGGACGTCCTTCGCGTCGCGTCGAAGGACATCGTCCGACGTATTGTACATTTCGTCGAGTCTGGGAGGCGAACGCTAGCGATAAGGTAACGAACGATAAGGTAGAATCTAAGGTTGCGTTTACGATAGGTGCTACGAGAGCTGCGCAACATAGCGAGACATTAACAAAGATTAACTATGAACTGCGATCGCGTTACGTTGAACCGACTGAGACGGGGAACGGCGCCGCGGTGAACGTCGATCGAGAAACGTGATCTCCTGGGAACAGTTGTTCGTGAATTATAATATCAATTTGATGAATTAACCCTTTGCGGACGAAGATCGTTGAAAGTATACAAAATCTTTCGCAAATTCTAAATTAACCCTTAGCACTCCAGGTTGTTTTGTAACCTATCAACGACTGCAACTAATTTTTATAGTATTCCCAACGAAAATGAGAAATGCAACATTTCTTCGATCTATTTTCCTTAGTACAAAATTCGGATGTGTGGAAAATCGAATAGTTTTAGGGTAGTTTCTTTAAGATTAATTCAAATATTTAATATTATAACTGGTGCAATATTCGAGCCTAAGTTCGAAGGGTTAAACACTTAAATCATACCATACCATAAATGGTACACGTGGCACGCCATGTGTTAACCCATTTGCATACGAAAAAGTGGAACATTGGTCCACCATAAATGTTTCAATTGCATGATAAAAATGATTCGAAACGTATAAAAGAGTAAAAACCTATATAACCACACGGCAATTATTGCTGCAATTATTATGCAAATGGGTTAACGAGGTAGTTGCGTCGATCACAGTTGAAAAGGAGCATCATCGATTCGATCGGCGTTCGAAACCGCGATTCGTTCCAGTTCAACGCGGTCAGGCGCACGAATGTATACGACGAAGTTACCTAAAGGTTCGACGTCTCGTTCCGACGCGTTACTATTTCTCAAATGAGAAAGAGAGAGTGAGAGAGAGAGAGAGGTGGAATGATAATGGTCGTACATGCACGCGCTCGATTGTCGTTGAATCGCTTATAATCTAAGGAATACGTACATATATGTATATATATATATATATATATAATATACACGCTTTAGAGACGTCCTGTTAATAACGTTCCGCATTGATCACCGGCACGCGTCGACGCGTGGCGTTGCAACGTTTCGAACGCAGTTGTGTGTGTGTGTTTCGTAAAAAAGAATACCTTCTGAAGGTCCGTTCTCCTAGGTGAAATTTAAATTTAAATTTCGTCGTTGTACAAGCGCGACCGAGAAATTCGAGCGAGCCCGGCGGGCATGGATTCCCTTTGTACTTTTTAGTTGTAAAATTTCTTTCCCTCAACATCAGTTTTCTTTTCAATGAAGCTTCCTTCGATCATCTGTTTGTGTAACGAGGAATTTTTTGATTTTTTCGTGATTTCTTCGTACTGTGAAACTGAAAAAAGCTGTTCTTTGATTCGACGATTACTTTGGCGATCATCATCCTGTGGAAGATTTCTTCGGTGATTTCTTTATTTTTTTACAGATTTCTTCGTTCTTTAACGATTTCTCCATTCTACAAAGATTCCTTTAACGATTTCTTCATTCTCTAACGATTCCTTCATTCTCTAACGATTCCTTCATTCTATGAAATCTTCCTCAACGATTTCTTCACTTTACAAATTTTTCTTTAACAATTTCATCAATCTACAACATTCTTTAACGATTTCTATATTCTACAAAGTTTCCTTTAACGATCTCGTCATTCCATAACGACTTTCTTACCCTACAAAGTTTCCCTTAACGATTCCTCCATTCTATAACGACTTTCTTACCCCACAAAGTTTCTTAACGATTTCTTCATTCTAGTTTCCTTATTCTTCGCTCCTTTTATACGATCTTATACATTTCATAAACTTTCGTTCGCCAATTCCTCCACCCCACGAAGCTTTCTTCAACATCTTCCTCCAACGAAGACACCTTCGACGTTCCTCTCGTCCAACGAAGAATTCTTCAACATGGCCACCTGGTACATCCGAAACGCAACTCGATTCTCCGACGACCGCCGGACAAAATCTAACAATCGGATCGGATCCACCCACTGCCGAACCGCGGCCGATCATGCGTGCAGAGCGCATTCGACTGGACGAATCATCACGATCGAATACACGTGTTACGATAAGATTTCTTACGATTTTTACGCTACACTTACGGATACACTAAAATTCATATTGGGAAACGTAACTCTCTGTTTCCTCTGTGACACCATGAACGTCCGCGGTTCACTCCGTTCACCCCCATAATATTGTGACCTACAGACGATTTCGATGGAAATAAATACGAACGTCTATGGATATTTAATCTTAACGGATCTACTCCTAAAATCGATAAAGTTTCTGTTATTAGTAAGAAATCGATCAACAATCAACTCTCGCGAGTCTGATTGACCCACGTGTCTAATCGATGAAAGTTATTATGAATAATTATTATCGAAGAACAAAAAAATTTGCTCGTGAGAACGGTCTGGGACATGCAATGCGTTTCGAATTGATTCAATGATTAATCTTAACCCTTCGCACTCGAGAGTTTGTTTGTTTAACCCTAATCGGACCACTGTGTGACTTTGAGTCACTTTTGAACTTTGTACTTAAAGTTCCTGATTATCTCGTATTGCAAGTTTCCTTGGGCTTTTAAAAATTGGGCCCTATAAACAAAGATAATATTTCAATCGTTCCTTTTATTCTCACATGTGATTGAGAGTTGTTTAATTAGGAAATATTTAATATTTCCAGCGAAATACTTCCGAGTGCGAAGGGTTAATTAGTTGTTTCATTCATTGGAACGCTCGTCTTCAACCGCGAAATTTAACGGTCGATACAGGATGGTTTGTCTGCGGTGATTGAACGATGATTTTGGAATGACGATTTACGAGGGAACCAGAGAAAGCGTTCGGAACCAGCGTGCCATGTGAAGAGAAGTGGACGGTCAGTCCACGCGCGAATCCGAGGCGATCATCCCGCACGGTTCCGACTCGTCGCGAAGGGTTCGATAGAAACGAGAGAACGACAAGCGTTTCCGGCAGCATCGGAGAGTGCCAAATCACGCCAAGCGGATCGCTCGCGAGACGCGGCGACCGTTCGTCAATTAAAACAGGGAAAGGACAACCGCGAACCGACAGCACAAAGCAGCTTAACCGTAAGTAGTGTTGTAAACATCTGTCCTGAGCTTTGAGAGTTGAGAGATGTGGCTGCGACGATGTCTTTAAGACTCTAGGCTTTATGGATCATCAGCTTTGAAGCTTTGAAGACTCAGCTTATAAGCTTGAACCTTGAGACTTTGAAGAATTGAGGTTTACAGAACACTATTCATTTAGGACTCAGTTTTTAAGGTTAAACCTTGAAAGTTCGAGGACTAGGTCCTCAGAGGACTTTGAGCTTCCATAATTCAGTCTTTAAGGTCGAACTTCAAGGCTTTGAAGACTGAGCCTTTAAGGTTAAACCTTGAAACTTCGAAGACTAAGTCCTCAGAGGACTCCAAGTCCTGAAGATTCAGTCTTCAAGGTTGAACTTCGAGGCTTTGAAGACTTAGCTTTTAGGGTTGAACCTTGAGACTTTAAAGAATCGAGGTTTATAGAACACTATTCATTCAAGACTCAGTCTTTAATATTGAACCTCGAAACTTCGAAGACTACGTCCTCAAAGAACTCAAAGTCCTCAAGATTCAGTCTTCAAAGCCAAGCCTCGGAGCTTCAGGGACTCCACCGTTTTACAACACTAACCATAAGAACCCAAACTAAAAAGCGAAAAAAAAAGAAGAACAAAAAAGGAAGACACGAGAACAGCGCTCGACATTGAAGCGCTGCTCGGCTCACGAGAACGGTACATCTCGTTAATCACGATAATTAAGGGTAGGCCCAGCGCGTTTCTAATTCAAACCCAGGGCAACCTCTTCGGGAGTCCGTTGACTGCCCGTTCTCCAACGTTAGGAATAATTTTTTACCAGACGAAACCTCGCGGGCGGAACGAAAGCTGTCGCGGAACAACAGAGGAAGGGAGAGAGAGAAGATTCAGTTCGGGACGGTGAACCCTTTAACCCCTTGCCTTATAATCACGTGAAACTTACGGTGAAAATTTCAAATCGAATTCGACGAATCTAAGTGTCACTTATTGATTTCTAACATAAATTAACACTAAAGCTACCGAACAATCGAGTCTCCTTAATTTTGTATAGAATCACTGACACTGCAATTAATAGGATTTCGAGTGACTTATAATTCTGTTTGCCTATTAAGAGAACGATTTCTTCAGTAATTCCTCAGAGTAATTTGTCATTTCATTTGAAAAAGAAATCAGGAATTAATCATTTTGACACGTCTGGTAGTTCTAGTGTTATCACCTGATTAATACGTGTTAACCCTTTGCACTCGGAAGTTTTTCAGAATATTTGAACATTTTCTGACGAGATAAAGACGACATTGTTCGAAACTAACTTATAATTCACAGATAAATTAAGCAACAAAGCTATTATATTTCAATATGCCACATTGCAATACAAAGTTTCATTTAAAATAGCAAATATTCTTCATAGTTTCGTTGTATCGAATCAAGTGGTGACCGAGCGTCACCTTTCGAGTGCAAGGGGTTGAGAGCAAAGTTATTTCGTCGAGCACGGTTGAGAAATAAATCATAAGGCGAAGGGTTAACGAGAAGCCGTCCGTTCGTTCGATCGAGCGTGCACGCGGACTTCCGTCGCGAGAGAGTCAACGCTCGGAATACGAGCGTTCATTTATCGGCGGTTTTATCGCGGCGACCCTGCTCGTCCCGCGGCCCCTAATTGGCCCGCGCGCCGTTCGACGCCCGACAAACCGGCAGAGGGTTGATTCGCCGCGATAAACGTGCCCGCCGAAAAAGCAAACTCTGTAACCGGCGAAGAGCGAGAACTAACCACTGTCGAAAACAGGAACTGTTATTGTTACACGAATAAAATAAAATCCATATTACACGAGCGACGGTATGTTAACCTTTGTACCCGCACCTCTTCTCCTCGTCCATTGTTCAGGATTATACGATATACAGGGTGGAAACTATAAAGCGTTGCAGTCGAATATCTCCGAAAAATAAAACGATCGCACCTTTTCTCCGTTTCCCTGCAAGTTTGACCTTGAGTGACCTTGAGCAGGTTGTTGAATTTGTCTTAAAACGCACTATTTGATGGTGGATAAAAGAACGTATCATTTTATTTAGAAAAAGAAAGTTGACCTTCACGTCACCTTGGAGTAACGCTTTATAATTTCCACCCTGTGTAGTACCAATTAGCTGAATTAACACTAAACCTACCAGACGGGTCAAAATGACTTCCCGATTTCTTCGTTTTGAAATTCGTTTTAACCCTTTGCGCTGTTTGTCTTCGATCTATCTCGACCTTCTGGCTATTCACTATCCACGTTTTATTACGCGACTGAGTAAACGTTATCGTGGAATCGATGCCAGTGATAAGAGCCTGTCAATGAATCGTTCGCGATAAATTGTGTAACTGGCAGAGATAAACAGGAGTTTGAAAAAAATCAGAATTCTCATGTTACACTATTGCTAACTTATGTTATTAAATATTCCTAGTCAGCAGTTATCTTGCAAATTGATCCTTTTCCAACTGAAAAGCGTCGAAGTGTCAAAGTCTCAATAGTCGATCCAACTCGATAGTCTTAGTAATATAAAATTTTTAAATTACTGTAAAATTTGATATTCAATATTATACCCTGTGCGACTCAGCAATTTCAAAAACATAAATAAAATCGTATAACTTCTGTTCTGAAAAAAAACTTCCAGTTAACTATCTATTTTTCAAATGCATTTCAAATGGAATATGATAATACAGAGTTATCGATGACAAAATTCAAAAGAAATTCGAATTTCAGTCTCAATATTTTCAAATAGTCCCATGTTTCTATCAAGAATTTTCAATAGATCAATTAACCGTAGTTTCAGTATTAATTAGTAGTAATTTTAGTATCTATTGCGAGCAACAGAGAGGCGAGACTCACGAGACGACCCGACAGGCAGACAAAGACAGGTGAGACAAAGGGACTGAATGGAAAATCGAGTCATCATCGGTGACGGATAGTGACCGTCGCGCGGGATCGTCCTCCTCGTCGTTGACGGGAGGCAGAGGGTCGACGAACCAACCAATCGTGCGGGATCCTCTGCACCTGAATTCTAATGAGGTCCACCTGGGTATATATGAGAGCTTAACCTCGGCCGAAGCCACGATTTTTCTGTGGTACACCCGGTTGTCGCAGAGGTGAGTCCCGCTCAATCCACTTATTCTCTCGATCTATCGGCGCCAGGCTCTCGCGAACGAATCGCTGTCGAATAAACATTAACCCGAGAGGTGAACAGACAGAACACGACGTTTGTTGGGACGATTGTAGAATTTCATGTGTGACAAGTTCGTGCGACGCATCGATGTGTGGAATTTGAATCGAAGGGAATCTTTCAAGTTGTCTGTACTTCGTATTTCAATTGAAATTTTTTCGTTTAGTTTATTTCAGTTTCAATTTGAATCTTTTCGTTTATTTTATTTCAGTTTCAATTTGAATTCTTTCGTTTATTTTATTTTATTTTGGTTTCAATTTGAATTTTTTCGTTTATTTCATTTCAGTTTCAATTTGAATCTTTTCGTTTATTTCATTTCAGTTTCAATTTGAATCTTTTCGTTTATTTTATTTCATTTTGGTTTCAATTTGAATTTTGTTATTCATTTTATTCCATTTTCATTTCAATCTTAATTTTGTAATTTAATTTATTCCATTTTCGTTTCAATCTTAATTTTGTAATTTAATTTATTCCATTTTCGTTTCAATCTTAATTTCGTAATTTAATTTATTCCATTTTCATTTCAATCTTAATTTTGTAATTTAATTTACTCCATTTTCGTTTCAATCTTAATTTCGTAATTTAATTTATTCCATTTTCATCTCAATCTTAATTTTGTAATTCATTTCATTCCATTCTCAATTCGATCTTCAGTTTCCAATTTACTTAATTTCATTCTCATTTCATTGCTCAAGAATATTTTCACAGAAAACTCAGTGAGAAACTTCCGCCAACGATAAAGTATTCGAATTGTTCACCAAAGAAGCCGACTGATTCGTCACGAGACAATCGATGTCAATATAATCCATTGTTCCGCTGTACTCACTTTTTTCAAACTCAACATCGTTACAAACTATCGACGACCACTTCTTCGAACCAGTGCATCGTACTCGCGAAATCTCGACGAACGCATCACGCTAGATAGAATTCTGATAACATTGTTCTCAATTGTTTGCACGATAATGCGACAAACAGTTCAGGAAACCGTCGTATCATGGTCCTTGGAACGTTGCCTCCCCAGATCTAACCACTCGACGAATTCCGAAAACAATTGCGCTCGTAGACACGACTCGGAAACGTTTCTACGAAAACAATCTTCCGACTGGAACCAGTCGGGACAAACGTTGAATACGAAATCCTCGAAGAGTCAACATTTTTGACAGAGACTTGTCGACACGTCGCATATTAGTTCAACAAGAGTATCGATTTATAAAACATCATTGGCAATTTTATAATAAAGACACGAGCGAGAGGTTGAAGTTAGAATTAACCCTTTGCACTCCAGAAGTTTTTCACCGGAAACATTCAATATTTTCTAATGAGATACAGACGACATTTTCTCAGATTTAATTAAGAAATCTCACATGCATCGAGGAAGAGAACTATTTTCTTTCAAATATTTCGTACATTGATGCATTATACAAAGTTTAATATTAAATATCAAAGTTCACAGTTTTGCCAAATCATTTGGTGACTCAGAGGATCCTCTGGAGCGCAAAGAGTTAAAGTTAGTTCTGTCGTATTTAGTTAGTTAGTATTTAAAAACTGGAGCGCAAAGAATTAAAGTTAGTTCTGTTGTATTTAGAAACTCGGTAATTCCTTGCAGTTTTATTTCTTCGATATTTCATTCAGAAGATTCGTCAGACTTAATGAGATACCGGGGCTTAGATCGTCATCGAGACGAACGCGTTAGACGGAAACACGAACACAAAAGAGCTCGGTCCTGAAATGCAAATACCTAAAAGAAAAGCGAAGAATATCTCTGTCCGGTCGAATGACTCGCGACACTGAGGATTTCTTCGAACTGTCGAGTCCTAAATTCCCGCTCGTCAAACACGACGCACGAAAACAGACGCAAACGAAGGACCGAGCCGCGAGAGCCGCCATTGATACGCATCGCGCAGACTGCAGCGAACGAACCGTTTAACCGCGCGGAAAAAAGGAAAGTCTCTGGTCCTCGCTAATTAACACTAAAACTACCAGAGGAGTCAAATGACCCATGCCTTGTCTTTTTGCAATTATTAGAAAGGTAACAATGTTTCTCTAAGAAATTATTAAAGAAATTCGTTTAGAACTACGCAAATTGAATTGTAAATCAGTTTAAGTCTGAACAGATGCACTCTTGGGGTTTCTATAGGAACTTCAAACAGCTTATTTAACTGCTCAGTGGTTTTAGCGTTAATTATTCCTATCAGCTTCAAAATCAACAAGTCCTCTAATTACTATTGTTTATCCTGAATTGCAAGAATCTCAGAACAAGGTCCACGCAACGATCACTGCGTGGGCGAGGTCCCTTCGTTTCCGTTGCTTATTTTTTTCCTCGCTCCTCGGTCTTTCTTTTCTTCGTTTTCACAGTTCTCATCGTTTCACTCGGCTCGTGGCTCGAAGGTCGGCCGCATATCGGAGTCCGAGTTTCGTCAGAGGATTTTCTGCGGATTCATTTTCATAAAAACGGGATTGGCCAGCGAGCGAGCCGCGCATTATCGTTCCGATGAACCTTCGTCGTACGCCGGCCTTTGTTAATCACGCCGAGGGATAAAGTTTCCTCGTAGAAATTCGTGACCCATCGTCGTCTCGTCGTTCGTTTTATCGTGCCTCGTGCCCCTTTATTCTCAGTTTCCTCCTGAATTAACCTATGACCACACTCGAACCACTCTTACGGTATCTCCGCACGAATCTACAGAATCGATGCGTATACGAGTCGCTCGGAACGGTTAAGTCGACTGTTTGATATTCTCTGAATTTCGTACGTTCCAACGGAATAAATAATTTAGTCGTTCAAGGATTCACTCGTCTCTAGGTCAAAACATTCACAGTTTAACCCTTTGCACTCCGTTGGCTCTGCTATAGACAATTTGCAACACAGACGTGTTACATTAATCTCAAATTGGAAAATTCTTCCTGTTCGAATACGGGAAATTGACAGAACAAATTGAAAGACGTGAATCCATGTATACTTGTAATTCTCCTTTTTCGAAACGAAATTCTAGGTTCTTCAACGTTTCTCAAATCTAACTTACTAATTTCCATCGTAAATTAAGTGTTACCTGTCTAATATTAATTTTTAACCTCTACAGTAAATACAGACGCAGAATAAGTATAAAATTCAACTTTCTAAAATAATTAGAAGGTTGTTTTATCAAGCACGATTCAGACGTAAATCATCAGACAAGGGATTAAGACGCTTCAGGATAGTGCACGTCGCTTCTAGTTTGTTCTACGATGATCACGAACGTTCATTAACGTCCCGCAGATCAGTATTCACCGGAGCAACGAGAGATAGAGGGACCAGCTCGATTTTCCGCACGTATCAAACGTCCTCGAGGTTCTTCCTGCTCGCGAGATCGACGCTCCGACTTTTATTCTCGCCGCGGCGGTTCGTGGATCCGATCAGGGCCATAAGGAACCGATCGATGATACACAGCCTTCCGTTTGATCAGACGTGACCGACATTCCGAGCGACCACCGAATGAACTGGCTCTATCTCGCGACCCTTATCTATCATGGACGACGATCAGATAGTGAAACCTCGCCTCGAATGTGTGCATCGCCTCTTCAAACAGATCATTTTTCTGCTGAACCGCGCTCCAGAATGTTTTTGTTTTCTAGCATTCGAACAATCGATGGTTAACGATGTCCTCTACGCTTGTGTTTTTATCGAATTCTTTCGATCTTATGGAATTTTGCGTTTCGAGCTGATCGTTTCGGAATAGCTTGAATAATCGAAGCTACTTCATTGTGTAAGGAAAGCTAAAACGTTCTAGCCAGGAACTTTTGAATACTGTAGATTGAAGCTAGAATGAATCATCTTCCACTGATTTATAATTGCAATTGTAATATAGAATCACTGGCTGGATAGTCTTCGAAGTCTTAGGGTTCCATATCATTAGGGTCTTTGAAGTCGTAGAGTTCTATGAAACTGGAGTCTTCGAAGCCTGAGAGTTCTAGAAAGCTAGAGTCTTCGAAATATTAGAGTTTTAGAAAGCTAGTCTTCGAAGCCTTAGAGATCTAGAAAGCTAGAGTCTTCGAAATATTAGAGTTCTATGAAGCTAGAGTCTTCGAAGCCTTAGAGATCTAGATAGCTAGAGTCTTCGAAATCTTAGAGATCTAGAAAGCTAGAGTTTTTGAAATTTTAGAGTTCTAGAAAGCTAGAGTCTTCGAAATTTTAGAGTTCTAGAAAGCTAGTCTTCGAAATCTAGCTAGAACAGCTAGATGACTATGTAACACGTGTGCTGTACCAAGTGATTAATAATTACTAATATCATTTGCCTTTGTTACGAACGAATATGCATTGTTACACGAAACGTTCGGAATTCTCGCGGCGGTGAACGTGCTAACGATGGAAATGGGCGAAGCAATTTGACTGGTCGATAGTTCGAATGCCCATTATTCGGGCAAAGTCGAAGTTCTCCGAGCTTCGGGGTTGCCTGGCTTTTGTATTCTCGGTGCATCCGACGGAATAGTGGTCGAGAGGATCCGATGCAGCCAGCATTTTAATTTGCGCGGCGAAAAGCCGCTGGCTCCCGGAGGCCGCGGTGTCTTCCTTTATTTTCGCGAGCCCTGGGACACACCATTATCTAGCTCTCAGACGTTTCGCACGAAGCTCTCTTCGTGAACCCAAGGACGGTCGATCATTTCCCGGCGTTCTTTGTGCGACTGCCTCTTCGTTCGATTGTCATTCCGGATTTAGTGCTGTGAAACGATTGAGCCTCCGACGCGTCGGGACTTGACCTTAAAGCCTTAGAGTAGTATCAAGCTCGAGTCCTCGAAGTTTTAAGATGAAATCAAAGGCTTAGTCTTGGAAGCGTGGAGATCTGTGAAGCTTGAGTCTTTGAAGTTTGAAGAGTTTAGTGTTGGTATTAAATGCATTTTTAAGTCTTAGAGTTCTGAGGATGGAGTCTTCGAAGGCTTAGAGTTCTAGAAAGATAGAGTGTTCAAAGTCTTAGAGTTCCATATTATTAGAGTTCTAGAAAGCTAGTGTCTTCGAAGCCTGAGAGTTCTGGAAAGCTAGAGTCTTCGAAGTCTTAGAGTTCTATAAAGCTAGTCTTCGAAATCTTAGAGTTCTAGAAAGCTAGAGTCTTCGAAACCTGAGAGTTCTAGAAAGCTAGAGTCTTCGAAGGCGTAGAGTTCTGGAAAGCTAGAGTCTTCGAAGGCGTAGAGTTCTAGAAAGCTAGAATCTTCGAAATTTTAGAATTCTAGAAAGCTAGAGTCTTCGAAGGCTTACAGTTCTAGAAAGCTAGAGTCTTCAAAATTTTAAAGTCCCATAAAACTAGAGTCTTCGAGGATCGATACCGCCGCTCATCGAGCAATGATAACCAGCTAGTTCCTTCTTTCACTGACCAGCCGCTTTTCTTTCCCGTTATTTTCCGTGACCGAGCCGCGCCGCGCGCTCGGAAATAAGACCACCTCAAGGCAGGAAAGAAGAGTGTTCCTTGTGAAAACACTCGCCAGTGTTTATTGACACGTCACGGATGCTATTTTCCTTTCACTTAGAAAATTGCCGCTACGGCTTCATACTGTTTCTAATATTCTGCATTAATCTAACATAATATTTACATTAAATTGAAGATCCGTTTCAACCTCAACGTCGAAATATGTTCTTAACCAGATAAACATATAATACTTCGTCGTTTTAATTTCGTTTTCCATTAAAATATATCATTGGCGCATTAGTCCTCCGTTTGACGAGTACACGCATCATTCTTTGATTTTACTGCACGCAAAATGAGAGATTCCAAAGGAAATTCCACAGTTAGCAGGTTCAGTGAGACGAAAACGATACTTTGTCTTGTTAAAGTCGGAAAGAAGAACGGAGTTACGAGCTTTTTATCGTCGAATTCGCTCGGGCCGAGTGCCGGCAGGGGTGAACAGCCGCTCGTGGCCACATTTTCGTGGCAAAAAGGACGCGTAAAAAATGTCCACCGGTTTTATCGGACTGTTCCGCGTGTGCGAGCGCGTTCGTTCTCGGATTTGGTCGCCCTGCGATGGAAGGGGATGAAAGGTGCTTGAACCTGCGAAATTCTTCATTGCTTATTTTAACATGATTAAATGTTACATAGCAGTGCAAATTTCGAAATAAAATCTGTTTCTAAGCTTGCACGTAACTGTTCAGTTGAGCCAAAGTAAATAGTATTTTTCGGACCCGATTCCGTTTTTTGATCCAATAAGTCTAAAGACAAAAGGATCCTGATCTCGAGTTCAAGTGACAATAATAGATCCGAACGGAAATGAAATCAGCGGAGAAGCGTTCGGCGAAGATGATACGGTGTTTGCTTTACCGGAAACCGGTCGTAGCTGATAGCGTTCCACGACATTGATTCGACGAAATCGATCACCCACGAACCGCTAATCAGTCGCATAGATTATAAACGATCACCTAGATCCGCGTCGATAGTCGAGTTGAACAGTTGACGCCGAGTGCATCGATCTGTCTGTCATCAGTTCACTTTCTTCTGTGGCATCAATATCATTTTGGACTTGGTCGTTTTGTGGCAGTGTGTCTAACAGGTTTTGAAATCCTTTGAATGAATATATCGAAATTGGAAATTACTTTTTCAAAGAAACTCGTCTGTTTATACAGTTTCAGTGGTTTGAGAGAACGAAATTATCAGTAATCGAAATGAATAAATAATAAATAATGAATTAATAAGTAAAACTAATCAATAGTAATGAAATAAATGTATCAAACATAGAAATTGGAAGTGCCTTTTCCAAAGAAACTTTCCTTCTAAATAACATCATACATCTCCACACAAACCGAAAATCATGAATCAAAACTGCATTTAAATTCCATTTCCAGTCGCCCAAACGTCAAAGCAACGAATCACTTTGAAAATCCGACACGTCGCACGCTAACTGAATCCATTCGTTATTTCCAGCTCCAGAAATGGCATCGGGAAGGTCTCTCTTCTCATTCGCGCTGGTGTTCGCGGTGCTAGCTGGAGCGATAGGTGAGCAGAGCTCGCATTTCTGATAAGATATACCTCTCTAAGATAAATTAACCCTCTGTAGACTCGTGTAACTTTGAAGTCGCACATCAGTATATTGGCATCTTATTGGTTTATTTCATTTTGCAGGGAAAGAATCGGCCAGAATAACGTGTTACTTCAGCAACTGGGCGATCTATCGGCCGGATGTCGGCAGCTATGATGTCAACGACATCCCCGGTGACCTCTGCACGCACATCATCTATTCCTTCATCGGCGTGAGCAACGTCACCTGGGAGGTGCTGATCCTCGACCCGGAACTGGACGTCGACAAGGAGAATTTCGTGGAGTTCAACAACCTGAGGAACAAGTATCCTCATCTGAAGACCTCTGTGGCTGTCGGGGGCTGGGGCGAGGGTGGCAGGAAGTATAGCGGCCTGGTCGGGGTGAAACAGAGACGCGACACTTTCATCAGGAGCGTAGTTGGTGAGGAACATTCCAAAATTGTTGGAACTTCGCTGAGAAAATTCGGGAAATTCGCTTTTGATGGGATGACTTTGTCTAGTTGCATGCGATGAGTTTTTGGGAGAATTGCACAACTCCGAGGAATCTTCGATAATCTGAAGATTAGAAGTTCTAAGGCAAAACCTGTATACGAGCCGTTTATTTTGAAAGCCTAGAATATTTACGTTTCTATTGTCATTTGCTTGTCTCTCTTTCTGCGAAGAGTTCATGCACAAGTACAATTTCGACGGTTTCGACCTCGACTGGGAGTATCCCGGCGCAGCGGACAGAGGCGGCAGCTTCTCCGACAAGAACAACTTCTTCTACTTCGTCGAGGAGCTGAGACGCGCGTTCGACAAAGAGGGGAAGGGATGGGAGCTCACGATCGCCGTACCAATGGCGAAGTTCCGTCTCGACGAAGGGTACCACGTGCCGGAAATATGCCGGTCAGTGTCGAATTTTTCTCTCATTCTTTCATCATTTCATTTTCATTTCTTTCCCTCAATCTTGTTTTCTAATCGTCTTCGAATCTGTTTTCGTGATAACAAAATTTCAGTGTGAAATTGATGAATATCAATCTATTCAATAATGCTGATATTAATAAAAATTGTCAATGGTTTTTGCAATTGCAATGGTTTTAATAATTTCATTAAGAGGAACACGTTTTTGAACTTCAGAGTTACAATGACGTTGAATGTTTAGCCTATGTGTAAAGATTACAATTATAATTAATTCTGGTTGTAATTCTCTGATTCCATTCGTCATTCTCGAGTGAAAAATTCAACGAACCAAGAAGTTCCTTTGAATTTCTCGAAATTTCTGTCCGCAGAAACATGGACGCCATCCACGTGATGTCCTACGACCTCCGCGGCAACTGGGGCGGTTTCGCGGACGTCCACAGCCCTCTTTACCGCAGGCCGCACGACCAATGGGCGTACGAGAAGCTGAATGTCGTAAGGACTCGATTGAGATAATTAGTAAAAATTTCAAATGAAACCTCGAATATACGCTAAATAATTCTAGATACTACAATACACATATTCATTCCTAATTCTTGATTACTCAAGATCCACCTTTTCAGCGTCTATAATAACACCCCCGCTATACAGGTAAAATCTATTGAAGCTAATTGGATTTGTTCACACAGCACGATGGCCTTCGGTTGTGGGAAGAGAAGGGCTGCCCCGCGAAGAAGCTGATCGTCGGAATACCATTGTACGGACGCACTTTCACGCTGAGCCAGAGCAACACTAATTACGAGCCTGGCACGTACATAAACAAAGAGGCTGGTGGAGGTGCACCCGGTGAATACACACAAGCCAAAGGGTTCCTCTCTTACTACGAGGTACTCCTCGATCCTCCGATCGATCTGACACTAACACTAGAACTGCCGAAATGACTGCAAGTCGAAATGATTGGTATCTTAACCCTTTGAACTCTGTAGGCTCCAATATTGCACTAATTAATAGTTTTAATAATTTTATTTAAACGAATGTATCTTGTAGCTTTGAAGTTACAACGACGTTGAACGTAAACTCCCGTGTATACGAACTAAAGTTCAAGTTGATCATTTATTTAATGGCATTCGTTTTCAACAAAAAATTCAATAGATCAATTTAACCCAGTATATTGATGTGTGACTACAGAGGGTTAATTATATAATTTTCTTGCAGATCTGCACCAGACTGCAAGCTCCAGGCAGCAACTGGACCCAGAAGTTCGACGACATCGGCAAAGTGCCGTACACGTATCAAGGTACTTTCCATTTTATCTAGAATCTTCCATTATATTCGCTCTTTGCTTTGTGATTCGTGAATTTGTAATTGGCAATTATCAGGAACACAGTGGGTCGGTTATGAGAATGTGGAGAGCGTGAAGTACAAGATCGATTTCATCAAGAAGGAACAGTACAGAGGCGCGATGGTTTGGGCCGTCGACATGGACGACTTCCAAGGACTTTGCGGCGAACGCAACCCTCTGATGAACACTATTCACGAAGGGCTGAAGGGATACGTTGTGACGGACAAAGATTTTCAAACTACGCCCACGGTAAGCTGCGTTTTTCAATCAGTGGCTGAATGGTTTGTATTTGAAACTGTGTAACTTGGGCAGACTTTATCTCGGCAATTGCGATTGCGATTTCTCGTCATATCGGTTTGAAAGGGTGTCATTGGTATTTCGTTAGAAAATAAAAAACTGTCGGAGTGCTAAGAGTTACTGCATCATAATTAGATTAAAAGGATGTCCTTGCTATCTGATTAGAAAATATTGAATATTTCTGATGAAAAACTTCTGGAGTGCAAAGGATGAAATCATCATGATGGATTTTTAGCCTGAATGGGCCAGGCCACCGAGCACAACCCCATCGGACGTGCGAACCACTCAGCCATCTTCGACGAAGCCTGCTGAGAGACCAACCCAGAAACCTACACCGGAACCTACTCAAAAACCGGAAACACCCTCGCCGTCGACAACGCCGAGCACCACCACCGATGACTCGAATAAATGGCAACCCACCGACGCACCGAACGGAGGCAACGACGAAAACGAGAAGATCAACTGCAAGATTGACGACAAATTCATCCCGTCCAAGAAGGACTGCAGCGTAGTAAGTAATTCGCGTGTTTGCTCGACACTGGAACTACCGGACGCGTCAAAATGGCCGACTTCAAGATCCCTCTTCCGCCATTGTTACGCTGATACAGATGCTTTCGTGAGAAATGTCAAAATAAATTCCTACATTCCTGCAAGAGCAGCAATAAGATTCCTAATTTTTATAACAAATTCTGAACTGTCTTATTGCTCGGTAATTCTATTGTTAAAACGTTTGAAACTATTGGAGTAATCAATGAGTAAATTCATTTTCGACCACGTGGCAATTTTTAGTGTTTAACACGTTGAACGAATGAATTTTCATCGAGCAAAATACACACAATAGAAAAAGTATAATATATTATATTATAAATGTTTTCAAATAATCATTTCATTGAGTGAACTACAGTAAGTCAATTTGATTAGAGGTCACTGGTGATGATTCCATGACATTCAACGTGTTAATAAACCAATTTAACCAATTACATATTCAATGGTACACTCTAATGCGACGTTCCAGATCAACTTGATCATTTTTCATTCGTACATTGACACGATCTCATTTTGTTGCAGTACTACGAATGCGTTCACGGATCGCCGGTGCAATTCAAATGCCCGAAGAATCTAATTTGGAACACGGTCATCAGCATCTGCGACTGGCCGGAAAACGCGGATCGACAGGAATGCAGGCCAGCATAAGTTTCCAAGGATTTCTGTCGTTCGAAAAACTGTGCACTGAGAAAATGCTTGATGATTTAATGTGGAGCAAGTTAGAGACGATATTAGGATATTAATTGGAGACTATATCCCAGTGAATGAATGTTCGAAACGCTATTGCAATTGTTAAACGCTGTGTACACAATATTTGTTTTCTATTGTAATCGTACGGTACGTCTGTAACGCATCGATACTGACGACTTCGTTACATAAATCATTAAGTGACTGACGTATATTCTATTCTTCGCTAGGCTTTCAACAATAAACATATATTTAACGAGTAACTTAACGGAACCGTACGAATCATCGAGCCCAAGTGAAACTTGCAGTTTGTATTTTATTTTCAGGTGATCATCGAAAATATAACACCCATTGAACACTTGTAATTTACAATATTGAACGTGACAAGCTAATTACAGATCTTACTCGATTGTTTCCTAATGCACGCAAACACGCACGCATACACACGCAACACACGCGTACACACACGTTAAACCGGTATCGAATGTAGTTTCTCTTTTGTTTTTAAAACGCTACTCTCGGTATTTAAATTATACGAAGATAAAAAAGGAAAACGAAATATTACAATCACCGTGAGATATCCAATTGGCATTTTAAACGATATTAATACTGTCTTCAATTACATATTACATATAGATGTGTATGTACAGATATACACACACACGCGCGCACACACACGGTCCCCGTCTCTCATACGACGAATCAATTTCAGCATTTTCAAATTGCACCTCGCGGTTTTTTGATTAGTCGCGCGTTCGTTTCGCTCGTTGCCGACGAAACTCGAGGAGTATAAAATTTACAAAGATACAAAGCTTTCAGCACTTTTGTGATCTCGTGTAATCCTACGTGTCGTTCGGCTCTCCCGTCGGTCTTACGTGTAACCGTTATCGTTGAGAGTCCGGCGTTCTAACTACGTAAACGCAAGATGACACGGAAACCATTAAACACGCTTCAAAAGGGGATAACGCACCCTGGCGCTTCATATTGCGTTCGATCGAGAACAGTTCTGATCGTTACACGAGCGTGATACGATGAACGATCGTGTGCCGTGAGGAGTTTCAAGGATACTTTCTTCTTTTTTTCTATATCAATGAGATGTACTGTTCAAAGATGTTACCGCACGCGTATGAATATTATTCGACACATTCGATGCCAAGTCATTTGTGTATCCTTCAGGGCAATGTCATTTGTATCTTTATTGTTTATAAAAATACGTCAAATGTCTTGAGGTCAAAGTTGGTTCACCGGGGCTCACATGATACCAAAAAGATTTCTATTTTTGTGTCATTTTTTTTAAACGACAGCACAAAGGGTACGTGACATTGATAGATGTCAGATAAACTGCCATCTTCGCGAAGGGGCACTCAGAGACGTTTGAAGGTCAAGTTTAGGACGTATGAAGGTCACTCTTATACTCAGAATTTGGTACTCTATTGATCTATGGTAAAAAAGTAGGTCATTCCATTTAAAAAAATCAAGGTGACCTTGAAAACTCTAAAAAGATGATATAAAAACTGAAATTTTGTTGGTATCATGTGAGCCTCACTGAACCATTCAACTTTGTCATTAAGACATTTGATGTATCTTTAAAAACAACAAAGATGTATACATGAATGCATAATATATAATCAGCAACAAAACTATTCGTCACACACAATAAATACTCCTTAACTTGTCTGCATATTGCTAAATATTTTATTAATTCTATACCATGAATGCTTATTTCAGTAAATAGCAATATACAGTGTAATTTCCTTTCATTGCTAACTGTATATTATAAAGAACTTGCAAATTTTCATTTGTATATTGATACAAGTTATTTTCAAAAGATTCTTTATCTCAGCCCTGAATGGACATTACTATGAAGTTCTTTTGGCATACAATGTGTTAAATGTCATCTGCAATTCCATATTGTTGTGTACTGAATTTCGCACCTACATCTCCTTAGAAGGATCTCTGTCTATGCAATAAAGTAACATTATACGAAGGCACGACATTCAAGTGTTTCTATGTCCCCTTTCTTTATTCCATGCTTTCCAATCAATCCTTTCCGTACCACATACGAGTACAGTTGCATCTTTGGTATTCCACTAGATCTTACATATCAATGACAGAGATGATGAGTAATTCGAATAAATGCGATGATGGAATAAATATGCACGATATGCGCTTAGAATGATACTTTCGTGTGACGATAATCGCGTGTTACATATGACGATTATGAATTATCATTTCTAACGATGACCTCGCGAGTCAGAGCGGGTGTCGAGGACGATTCACAAAGTATAATAATATTGTCGGTATACACAAAACTATACAACTCCAAAACTCTCTTGTAACAAGGTGTAAAAAATAGTAATAGTAGATAGTACAGTGCGATCATTTCCACCAGTGTAAACAGTGGGGCTTGTGTTCTGCGATAAAGTGTAAATAGATACTGTTTCTTTTCCACACTCCTATTCAAAGTGATGATTTCAATGTTCCAATGTGCAGCAAATCCAAAGAAAACCTTGCACCATATAATCATCGTGAAACACATATTGAAACTGTTGCAGTATACGATAAAAAACAGAGTGAACGTATGCTTTGTACAGGTTTCAGTACGAGAAAACATTTTTACCTTGTTGGGCAGTAAGTTACGCAGTGTATTTAGTATCATTATAGTACAGGAATGATATCACGTTCGGTAGATTGTGATTCATTGAAATTCTTTTCGATTACTTCAAAACGAAATTAAACAATGACTCTATCAATTAATTAATGAAATGTTAGAAACAAGTTTCCATGATATGTCTCTCCTTCAAAGTATGACTCATTAGTATGAACGTTATTTGTCGATCATTGAATGCCCATACTATATCCTTATCTTTAAGTATTGGTTAACAACGAAGCTCTTCGCCAATTATTTCTATCGACATACAAAGGAACTAGAAAACATGTATACTAAGTACTTAAAAACGTTTCCCATATATACGAAATGTGAACACAGAATTTATACTCATTATTATTACATCAGGTTTCAGTAGAACAACTATAGATGTTCTATTTTAAGACAAAAAAAAAGACAGTTCAACCTATTGATTGTCCACCGTAGATCGGTATTGTTTTCCCGTCACATACATATAATAAAGGTTGCATCCTAAATGCATTTTGTCGCTACTCGCAAGCCAACTTACTGTCAAAACTGCTCAAAGCAATGGCGAATGCTTGAAGTGTGCATAGTGGGAATCTGTAGTCCATCGTAAACACGTCTTCTGCTACGCGGCCGAATTGCATAACGACGTAATCAACTGTAACATAATATGCGAGTATCAAACGTCTGTTCGCTTTCAATCTGTAAAGTACTTTGAACCAATAGTTCAATATACGAACCATCGCTGTCGTGCACGACTTGGAAATTCTTTACTGAAGCCTGCGTCACTCGCCCATGGAAATTAAGCACGTACGACTGAGTGTCATCGTTCCAGACAGGAGTCTTATTGTGTAGTTCTATTAAATTATCCATGTTTTTTGCTTTCCAACGTTCTGTAATAAAGGGCGAATATATTGACATGTTGCATGCACTAGAGAAGAATGATGTTCATTAAAAACTTGAACATACCAAGCAACGTTTCTGACTCATCCCTTGGACAAATTTCAACTCTTTTCTGATCTGACGTCATGCCAGGAATGATCACGGTCATCTTGCGTGGCCCTTTAAATCCTAAAACGTTAGTGTCGTATATTACTGCAGCCAGTTCTTGTCGTGGATTGAAGCGTTCATCTCGTTTGTCATCCTTCATTAACGAATAACCATTATCGTAAACCGTAAACTGTGTTCCCAGAAGATTGGACCTTAGCTTTCCGATGTAAGACTCTCCTGCTCTTGAAAGATCCGTGGGATCGGTCGAAATTAAATAGTTGCTTGTCGTGCTCTTTTTCCTTTTTCGACCCGCCAATAAGAAAATCTGTTAAAATGTATCAATAGCTTGTATAAGTTTCCTTTCTATATTTCAAATGGAAATAATTGTACACAGTACGTACCTTCCTTCCATAATCACGTTCTAAATGTAGGAAGTATGTAGGATATAATCCACGATCCATACCTTTCCTATCACGTGTTATTCTACACTTAAAATGCATTTTTTTGTTTGCTGGTTGCAGTACAAAATGCTCGATACTTCCTTCGACCTTGCCTTCTAATTCTGGGCTCTAATGTAATAGTATAATATTTATTTTCAACAGCATTTAGTATCAATTATCCTTAGTGAGAAGTACATTCAGTCGTCTTGCTTACCGAAGAGTTATTCTCTGTACTGATAAATGTGTTAGCACCATCCGAAGGTGCTACTCTGAGTGGAGAAGGACACGGCAGAGATTCAGAAGGGGAATGTATGTCTATTGGCGATGACTCTTCATCTGCACAATCGGCAGCTTCCATACCTTGGTAGAAGCTTCCTTCTGTACCTACATCTACTTAAAGATAATCAATTACAATGAATAAGGAATAAATGTTTCATTTGTTAAATGTTATTAGCTTACTGTACCATTTATTCTTGCTTCCATATCCTTATTCTCTGTAAATGTGCTTAACTCTGGATTTGTCTGTGATACATTAAATTGTAGTGGTCCATCATATCCTGAAATCAATGGATTATTTATTGGTTCAATGGATTTACCTTATTTACCTTTAATTCGCATGCTTTTTCTATAGTTTCTCAAAATTACCACGGAGTTCCTTATTCGGATTCATCCACTTGGTGGAATGACTTGTAAGTTGAGTACTTAATATATTAGATGCTTGAACCATTCCACCAGCACCACTTTGTCGTTTCTGTTTCATTTTCTGGGCAATCAATTGCCTCTGTAACCGATTATAGAATAATCATAGTGAAAATTGAAAAATCAAATTAACAAATTACATACATATTGCACTTCATAAATTATATACTGTATAGCATTCTTAAACATAAACCTATAAGAACAACACTTGGGTTTGTTAACAATTTAACATGAATAATAAATTCAATATTTGACCTAGTTTTAATTACGTTTATAACAAATTACGTTTGTCAGATGTTCTCTTAATCAAAAACATTATTAAAATATTCGTAATGCAAATTATTCTACACGTAACGCGTAGGTATACCAGAAAATTCGACTGCTTGTTAAAATGTTTAAAAATATACAACACACAGTTATAATCTAAAGACAGTTTGATAAATTGAAGGATGTAAAAGTATATTTGAAACAGAATCGTATCCAGTACCTGTTGTTCGAGTTTCTGTTGCCTTAAATCTAGAGATGTCATTTTGTCGATACGCGTTAACGACAACTGTCATATGCGATTGATTTTCACAGAACAATTCAACTTGTCAGAAAACCAGTTTGTTTACGCTAAACACATTTCGTCGCCTGTGGCTACCTAGGCAACCACACGACTGAAAACCCCAATACATTCTTATGGTTCGTTCACATTGAACGAATTAGCACAATGCCTGTTGAATTTACCGCCAGAGGTCTACATATATTTTTTAAAAAATACAACCTCGTTCGATAGCTATCGATAAGTGTATCAATCAGAAATGCCGCTAAAAGAAAAAAATACAAAAACAGGGAACTTAAAACGCAATTTTTGAATATTCTACGAAAATTGTTATCGGTGTTCCTCTTTCAAATTAAACTCTACAATAACGCAAAACACGCATAAGTTATGAAAAGTATATTAAGAAATTCAGAATTTGTATCCTTAATGAACGTATAAATAATTACACCTTTTAATATTTGCGTTCAGGTGTATTAATGTATTCACGTTTTAGTTTATGCAATTTTTAATATTAATTTACATTGTATCGTACGTTGTTAATCGGTGAACCGTAGCAACAATGTCTGTTTCTCGTGTAGAAGAACTGATTAATTATTTTAAGTCACATAACAAGATTAGGGAGCAACAAAGTCACTCTGCAAAAGTACACAGCGTAGGATGGAGTTGCGATGGAAAACTTTTGGCGTCAGGTTCATTTGATAAATCTGTTTGTATATTTTCCCTGGGACCGGATCGTTTGGTAAATAAACATAACCTTTATAATCAGCTTCTTCAGAATTCTCTTCATAATTGTAACATTTGATTATTTGACATGTGTATTTATTCATCTATTTATTATTAAGCAATATACTTAGTAATATTTACTTCTCATATTTAGACATATATATTACTATTTTTATAAGACGTAACAATTTTTGAGGTTATATTATAATCCAAATGAATTTATTGCAGAAGCAAGAGACAACATTCAGAGGACATGGTGGCAGTGTAGATCAGCTCTGTTGGCACGCTTTTTATCCAGAACTGTTGTCCACTGCAAGTGGAGACAAAACTGTACGTATATGGGATACAAGAACTCAGAAGTGCACTGCAAATATAAGCACTAGAGGAGAAAATATAAATATATCATGGTCTCCCGATGGTAACACAATAGCAGTAGGAAACAAAGAAGACTTGGTTACTTTCATCGATGCACGTGTAATGAAAATTCGCGCAGAAGAACAGTTCAACTTTGAAGTAAATGAAATTTCATGGAACAAGGACTCTGATACGTTTTACCTTACAAATGGACAAGGCTGTGTACATATACTTAGCTATCCAGATTTGGAGTTGTTACACGTGATCAAAGCACATCCAGGAACATGCATTTGTATAGAATTTGATCCCACTGGGAGATATTTTGCTACTGGTTCAGCTGATGCATTAGTTTCTTTGTGGGATGCAGATGAACTGTGCTGTTTAAGGACATTCTCTAGATTAGAATGGCCAGTTAGAACTATATCGTTCTCTTATGATGGACAACTTTTAGCAGCTGCATCAGAAGATCTTGTTATAGATATAGGTGAAGTGGAAACTGGAGAGAAGATTGCAGATATACCTGTAGAAGCAGCAACTTTCACAGTTGCTTGGCATCCAAAACAATATTTATTAGCATATGCATGTGATGACAAAGATACTTATGATAGGAAACGAGATGCTGGCAGTTTAAAAGTATTTGGATTTGCTAATGATTGAATAACTATTTTTAGATACACTTATTAAAATATATTATTGTATAAAAAAACGAATGATGAAATCCTTTTTTATTCTTTGAACTCTCCCTAAGGGATTTCCTGAATATTTGAGATGATAAGTGTGAGATAAAAAATAAAATTACAATTTATTTTAAAATACTTTATTGCTGTATTTTGTTATCACTTACAAATTTGTACCAATTTCTATGTACCTACTTCATTGTTGTGATACAGTTGACATGGTAACCAGAAGCATATAGTATCCATTGCTTCACTTTTGTAACCTGGAAATGATCTAGATTTAATTTTGTATAATTATTAATTTTTCTTTTTGTCTCTATCAGTACAAATAATTTATTACCTTCTCACTGTAAAGTAATGGAAACTAATTGCGAGTGTCAATATACATTGATGGTGATGAATGAAATAGTGCAAGGACAGTTGTCTGAAACTAAAGATAATTTCAATTATGTACCCAGTATTCATGAAGTGGATGAAGAAGATACCGATGAGGAATATGTTTATGACCAAGATTCAACTACTCCAAATGAGGTCCAACAAGACTTGGACCTAACAAAAACTACAACAGATGATGATTCAATATACAGTAATGAATCATTCTGTTCTGATGAATCTGAAGAAACCAATAATACATCAAGAACTTTAATTGACTCAAATTATACTCCCAAAATAACTGGTCGTGACTGTGAAGAAGAAGAAGAAGAAGAAGAAGAAGAAAATGAAGAGGATGAAGAAAAATGTGATAGCACAATACCGGATAGGGAAAATATAAATTCACTTTGTTGCAGAAGTTCAGCATCTGACAAAACTGTAGCATTTAAAACAGTGAAATGCAGAAGAAAAAATATGAGTTTCACAGATGAAGAGCTTAGAAAGATTGAGTGGGAGAATCAAATTCTTTTGAGAAAAATAATGGCTCAACAAAAACCAAAAGAGAAAATACTTTATGAAAATGTACCACAACCCAGAATAAGCAGTTCAGCGATTAACAGGAAGAAATTGCAAAAGAAAATTGAAAGTGAAAATATTGTATGTATAAGTATATAAATCGATGTAAGAAATATACCCAAGTGTACGGTTGTTACAAGTCGTTACGCTAATATCGTTCATGTTTTCAGTTACTTCTTCAAAGGTTACAACAAACTAAATCACGCCTTATGCACACTACAAAAAAACCTGGATGCAGACAAACGATTTTGTAACTTTTAATAAACAAATTTTTTATATATTTTATATAAATCAGATTAGTTTTTCCATGCTTCAATGTGATAAGGTTTTTACTTTTTATAATAACAGGGTATAGTACAAATCACGATTGTGATATAGTTTACTCTATGTGCCATTTAACATAATGCCAGAATTGATATATAACTTTGGAACAAAATCACTGATTATAAAGAAAACCACTTTTTAATGGTACACGTGTGAGAGAAATGACTGATGTGTTACATAAAATGTTATTCATACTGCATACAAATAAAGTGCGTATGTATGATGATTAAAACACAGCAATTACCAGTCTTGAAGTGTAGGTACACATTTTTATTTTGTTTTGTATACATCACAACTTTGTAAAATGTTTTGAAAACTTACCGAAGAAATTTCTACAAGTCAAGACTATAAAAATCACAGTTCTCACTCGTTCCAAGTAACTTAATTATTACCTTTTTATTTTTTTTTGTGTAACACCAAGACCAACGTTCTCTGAGTATTGTGATCACCTTTTTATATACGTTTTGTGTAGAAAGTACAACAGAAATAAAGACGATAGAACCGAGAGGCAAAACCTTTATAAATCAGACATCTTATTTTACCTTTACGTATTTGCCTTCTGGATTAATCTGTGCTTCAATTGCTGCGAATAAAACTCACTTCGAATTTCGGTTACGCATTTTCGGTGCATCATTGAAACTTGAAGTTATAAAAAAGAAAAAACAGAAGAGAAAAGAAAAGGAGATGTGCGATCCTGCACCAACAGAAAAAATTTCAACATATCACATTCAAGCCTCAATTAATAACACAGATTAACAAGTCACAATTTTGTCCGAACAAATTATTCGGTGTTATTATGCGAGGTACTATTCAACAAAATATCACAAATCCGCAAAACATGAAAAATAACAAAAACCAACCAGTAGTTGTTTCTTTTAAGCGTTATCGATCATAAAAGTGTCGCTAATAAATACGTTATTACTTTTCGTATTAGAAAAGAAAATCGTTCAACCAAGTCTACGACGATATCACAAGCATAATATCGGGAATTTTGGGAACAACATTAGTCTTCGTGCTTCTTTTTCCATGATTCTGTGGATGACGGTGTCCATATTGTACTGAGAGAACGAAACGGATCGAAACCAGATCTTTCCTGCAATTGAAGTTAGTCAATCAATTAACAATAGAACTTCGTTTGTACAAGGTGGTAATTTGGCAGTTAATTAAATGAATGTTAAATTTCAATCTGACAGACAATACACAGGATGTTCCGTGACATGTAGATTACGTCCTTAACTACGTCCACGCATTTTGAAGTAACCTGTATATAAAAGAGAATTATTTTCTTACTTGTGTGTCTGGTTCTGTCGGTAAAGAGGACAGTTGTGAATTTACAGGTGGAGTGGCAGCTCCCCATGGTCCTGCAGCCCACACACCACCTGTATTCACTCCCCAAACACAACTTCTTTCTTCCCCAACAGCTGCCCTTGTGTACAATGGTTCCCAATTTGTTTCAACTGCCATCCAATTATCTACGAATTCAATGTCAACAGTGTAACATACCAGTTTTAACTACACAATCATAATTCCATCTATATAATTCTAAATATTTTCCAGCAAGAAAGAAAATATATTAAACAATGTAGTGTTTACCCCTTAAAGTGTCCGTCAACATTGAGGAAGGTTTCTCAGAAGATTTCGACGATTCCAATGGAAACCCGCTTGTACTATCCGACAATAAATTATACACAGGACTACTGTCTTCCCATAACTGACATCGCGTATCTTCTTCAGGGCTCTCCAGTTCCATCAATGGTTCATCTGTTTCTGGAAGATCATCGTACGGCACCAGTTCCCGTTCAAACTGAAGTAAACAAAGAAAACAGCAAGATTAAAAAACGAACATACGACAGACTGAAAAAGAATAAATAATTTATCATTTACCGGTGGTTCTGTGAAGGCGTTCATAAAATAGCTATTCGAGTGCTGCAATGTATTCTGCATCTTTAAGGGATCCTGACTAAGTGACTTCTCCTCGACAGACTGAACACAGAGGGGTGAAGAGTTTGATACCATTCTGTATTCCTTCGTGCCCTTCATCAACTCTTGACTTGACTGTTGTTTAATATAATCTATATCTTTGGTATCGTTACTGAAGACCAAGGTATGCGTGGTCGTCTGAGGTTTGTGTAACTTATTTAAGCTTGAGAAGGGAGAAATATTTTCTGGACTTCTGGCCACAACGTCGCTAAACCTCGCTCGGTTCTCGCCCCAACAAGATGGCGGTGGCGGCAACGGAGCAGACACTGTACCCAACGACCGCGATGAGTCTTCTCTTTGGCTAGTGTTCCCGTTCAACGATGTCACTGTAAAATAAACATTTAATGTTAACCTTTAATTTCTTCATGATTTAACACGTTGAATGTATTGTATTAAATCATTTGATTGTATTGCATTATTGCACTTTGATCTAGCTGAATGTCACTGCATTAGGTAGCATTATTTATAGTATAGAAATGTTTTCAAATAGTGACCTCCATGACATTCAACGTATTAATATTCAACGACAAGATAGTAGACAGTTATGTACCCTTCGCATGCGTTTTTTCCATGCCACGACGCTTCTGAGATCCTTTATCTTTCCTAGGAGGATTCTTGTTCTGTCGAGGTAGTTTACACGACGACTCGATGGTGCGAGACGAGTGGATGTGGTGTTTTATGGTCGACCTCGTTGTGCTCGTTTTCCACCTGTTCGGATTGTTGTGCCTCTCTTTGTCATACTCGTCGTCGTCGCAGTCGCCCTCGTAATTGTCTCTGTAGTCAACACATGGCACAGGCGTGATCGATTGCGGTTTGGTTTTCTTGGTTACCGGCTTTCTTTGCAACTTCTCCGACTTTCCGCAAGGCTGGTCAAAGTTCTATAATGAAACAGTCTTAATATAAAACCCTTGTACAACATGAAGATTGATAAATACCGTACCTTGCACGGCGGTGGATCGTCTTGAACAGAACTCTCCGTTGTCGTGGAGGACGTTTCCTCCTCTGAAAGTTGAACGTTCCTGTGGTTGCTGTTGGACTCGAATTTCTTGAACGGCATATGATTATTATTGTTATTCCCAACTGTGGACTGTTTCCGTTTGCTGTCCAATTTACCGGTTCGAGTGTTGTTCAACAGCCCCGTCGTGTCGACCTGAACCTCGTGATCGACTAGTTTCGTTTCCTCCTTAACGTTCCCTATCTGATTGGACTTCCCTTTCCTATTGGTCACAGGACTCGACTTGATGAACGTGTTCACGGTGTACTTCCTCTCCTGCACCCCTTGAACATCCGGGAACGTGGCTTCGGACAGGCAATTCTCCGTTTGAACTTCCTGCACCGTATTCTGTTTCTTGTTGTTCCTTTTCTTAGCTCCAAGTGCCATATTGTTCATCACATTGTTACCGTTGTCCAACGACAATTCCTCGCAACGTTTGAAGGACAACAAGTCCTTCGTCTCGGTGTCCAATTTAAACCTGCGTTCCTCGTCCGCGGACCAGTCAGGAATCTTCAGTCCTTTCTGCGAGTTCTCTTTTTCCTTGTACTTCTTCACGTTCATCAATGCCCAGTCCGGATACGTGTCCTCTTTCTTCGCTGCTTTCTGCTTCTCCTCGTTCATCAGTTTCTCTTTCAAGGGTATCTCTTGCGTCGAGTGCACAGGCATGTGCGACAGCAGCCTCAAATCGAACGGTGGTTGCACCGGACTCTCCCTGGTGAAGCTGGCCAGAGCTCCTCTCAACACTCTGTCCGCTTCCAGAAACGAAATCGCTAGCACGCATATTAACAGGATGGACGACAAGCTGATGGCCGCCCATTGAACACCATATTCCCAGGATGGTCTTATCAGCGCAGCTCTACAGTCTTCTAAAGAGTGCGGGGGAAGAGTCGCGAGTAAATTCAGCGTTACCATACCGTTCTCGATGTCGCTGTCTGACCCTAAACTCGTCGATATCACGAGTTTCCTTTCGATCCGCGACAATGTGAAGTCCGGCGTGAACGCTATTTCAATCTTCTTGGTCGCGTTGGGATTCAAACTGAACGGCATGCAGTTCAACACCCGGAATCCATAACCTTCACAGCGAAGGCCGTTTATGTAGAAGTCGTAGACTTCTATGGGTAGCTCTCCCGTATTTCTGGCCATGAAAGACCTCTTCACCGTCAGGTTAGGTACGGGATTTCGTTTGAATCGTTCCCCTGTTATTGAAGAATGGAAAACAAATTAACGTATGCCACTAATGAGAGCTAGACTAATTTCTTTACATTTAGGGTACAAATTTGCAGTGTGTTGCTTAAACGGTAGCGCCAAAGTAAAGAAACGTACATACGTTCACAATCTTTTAGGTGTTTGTCCGCGAGTTCAAAGAGTAAAGGTGTAGTGGAACCTGGCTTTCGATTTCCGAATCTAAATTGTGCATTTGCCCCTTGGCCCATCACACGCAGTACTTCCAGAATCGTCATATTGTTCCTAGAACAGAGATAATTGAATTTAACGGTGAGTAATTTCTGTTGATACGTTTAGGAACAATGATATTTGTAGTGAGGAGTGTATAGTTGAATGCTCTCTCTCTCTCTCTCTCCCTAAATAAAAATTTACCTAATATATAAAAGAGCAGACGATAAAGTAGGTGAGAAAGGAGTGTATGACACTCGTATAGTTTTCGACTCCGAACGTTTTAAATACAAAGGAATCGACTGCGGCGCTACTGAAACGTCCCATTCTTTTTCAAACTGTTCTCTATCCTCTATATTCTCGTCTAACTTAAACTCCTCCGCAACTGTGGACCCACATTCTACGCACGCGAACTTAAATCTGTAAGTAAACATTATATTAGACATCTTGTACATTTTTTCTTCAATTGTGCAGAAATATTTAGAAATGAAAGGAATACATACTTAGCTGGTAATGAATGATAAAGCCTTGTTCCTTGCGGATAATTCCAATCCATTACCAACTGCACTATTAACGGACTGGTGCCGGGATTATACAATTTAATCGATCTGTAAGACGTATTCCCAACTTGCGTTAAAGGGAATACCACAACGACTTTATTTTTATTGTTACCGAAACCAGTCAATAGACTGGGCCAATACGGTTTTATGTTCAAGTAAAATTTGTGCCCGCGAACTTCGGTGGTGTCTAAACGCATCGTTATATTCTCCCAAGAACGACCACCGGTTGAATTCAGAAAACGCGTGTATCTTGTGTTCAACAAATTTAAATCGGAATCTCTCGTGTGCGAAGGAAGGGCTAACGTATTTAGCCACTGTCTGCCAGCTGCATTGCAATTAAACGTATCACGTTATATTAAATCATCACATTATTTCTAACGTTCAAGCAATACTCACCATTGCTGTCTAATGACAATCCTAGATAACAGTGATGCTTGCAGGTCACCGATTGTTCGATTTTAACTGACCCAACGTAATTTTCACCTTTTGTTATAATTGGCATCGATGCTTCCTCTAACGGAATATACTTTATCCTATTATCTTTGTAAACAGGTGCGATTCGAGTCACTTGCATGGGTCTCACAAACGATGAATGTACTTTTACTTGTTGCACGCAAATAGAACCCTGCATGGAAATCATTATGTAACAACGATCATTCTACGAATTGTATCATGACACATTTGAATTACTTACAGGAAAACAATCGGTGAAAATAAGTTTCTTTAATGAAAGTCTTCCGTATGCCACCCTCATGTAAACTGGTAAAATGAATCTCTCGTATGTCGTCCTGACGAACACGTCACCAACGATAGTGTCCTCTTCGACCACTGGAGTCTTCACTTTAATCTTAAAGATGGCTAGGTAACCAGGTTTTATATATTGCTGAAATTAAAGGAGAATATCTTCAACTGAAATTGTTATACAATATCGACACGTTGGATGCAGCACGATTTCAGAGCAAAATATATAAAATGGGAAAGATATAATATCAAATCAGTTGATTGAATTACATTATTGCACTTTGATCTAGCTGAATGTCACCGAATTAGGTAGTACTATTTATAATACAGAAATGCTTCCAAATAATCGTCGTTTAATCATGAAGATCACCGGTGACCATAGCATTCAACGTGTTAAATCAGTATTAGCACATTAGATGATGTTCCTACATTGCCAGTGTGACTGCACACAGTTATATTGCGAAGTTCCTTGTCCAGAAAATCTGCTGGGCCTTTGTGACATCCCATGAGCTCTAATACCGCGCCAGGCATGTTCACTCCCCATCCATGTAAATCGATATTAATTGGATTCTGATTTTCCAGGGCAAAAATAGCCTCGCTTTCGGTTCCACTGCTCACTGTGCCAAAATTCATTGTGCCCTCGTCGGTTTCCCTTTCGTCGGGGACAATTTTCCTCACTTTACCGTCGTAACTGAGCAACGGGACTTCCGTTACGGAGACATTCGAATGAATTAAAATCGAGGACTCCATTTTCACGTTGTCAGTTTTCCTATCTTTGGCAAGTTGTAGTGAAAAAATGTTAACCTTCTGTTCTGGCTTCAGCACTCTCGGAATAAAATTTTTTATCTGAAAATCCCACGTTGATAATTTCTGTTACAGCGCTGGACAATTTCTGAGTACACTCACCGTGAAAAGTGACTTGACGTGCGACGACATTGTGAGGTTCGTGATGGCTAATGGCAATTTAAATTTATTAACGACGCTAAAATTTCGCGCTTGATTGGACTGAAGGGAACAGTAATGTGTTATTGATGCGTTTACTTCTAGTCCACCCTGTAGAACTTGTGCTTTCCATGGTATTGTTAATTTCTGATTGGAACCACCGGGGCCTATTGCTTTAATCACTAGTTTCCCTTTAAAATGTTGTAACTCTAAACCAGTCTTCCCTGGAAGATAAACAACGTACAATTATACGATATACATCTGCATGTTATGCACATAAGATTAAAATGCCTACAGTCATAAATTAGTGCTCCAATCGCAATCGGTATATCTGTATCTCCTGGGATTACCGCTTGCTCAAAGTGAAGTTTTAATGCTTTAGATACCGGCGTACTAATTATGTTCTGTGACAGAAATGAATAAACTTGTTATTGTGTAAGAAGGTAAATAATGGTAAGAAGTAAATAATATTCACCATGATTTTTATTGGTTTCTTCGCTGAGTTCTTCAAAGCAATGGGGTACTGTATGGGAGGTTGCAACGAACCACCCATACCTAAGTTAATTACCCCAGAGTTTCCGCCCCAATGAAGACCAGCCCCATTTTTTACTTCAACTTCGACTGTCGCGACAAGCACTTCCGAAGTATTATTTACTTTTAGCCTGTAATTCAAGGGATAATGTATTAGTAGACAGTTTTATCAGTAATAGGAGAATATTAAACTACAAACCTAATATACGTGGTATGATTTTTTTCTGTATAAGCATAAAAATGTAGTCTTATGATAGGCTTTGTTTGATATGGTGGGATTTCCCATAGTTCACGCGAACCTTCTGCTTCTTCTGATGGCAATTCTAGTTGAAATTCTCCACCACTACTATATACTTCTAGAACCTGTAGAAATATAACGAAATACAATTTAAAAAAGTAAGCAAATACAACAGAGACTAATGGAACTCAAATAAGGAAATTAAAATAATATTTTAATCGGAGATACGTACTTGTAAAGCTTCTGCATGTGGATTGTGCATATATATAAGTGGAGTAAATGTTGCATTTAAAGGTAATTTAACACCCAATACAGATCTGAGTCGATATGGACTACTGACACTTATTCCTTTTACCTAACAGAAAAGACGTGTTTGTAATAGAGAACGAAATATTGGTATTAAACATATGTATTTCGAATGAATTACCTGGTACTTCACAGTTCCATCTGTAGTATGTATAAAAAGATGTGTATCAATATCACCTACTTCTCGACCAAGAAAAACAACATCGAATGTTGTGTTCCCAAGTGGTGGTATTACCTATGCAAATTAAAATGTTATCTGCACTGCAGTAGGAGTCACTTATTGTGGAAAGTATAATTATACATTATTGTAGACTTACTTTATTTCGAAAGAATGATGAATGGAAATGCCGTGTATTTCCAGAAATTGATAAAAGATGGATTGTTTTATTATGATCTTTATTAAACAGGATCACAGTTTCTTGGTGGGGTATACCAAGTTGTCTAAGAAGAAAAATATTCACTGTAAGAAATTCCATTTACAATGATACAATCAATACAGACAATTTGCTTACCTTTCTTTGAAGTCCAGAACATATGGTTCAAAATAAACATGAGATAATACATCTTGTGTTTTATCTTCATCTGATGGGGTGTCCCTTAAAAAATAGTTCCAAAATTTGAATGTATTCACTAGAATTCGATAAGTGTATACTTCTAATAGTGGAAATTGAAAATAGGAAAGGTACGAGAAATATTAGTTTGAAGTAATCACAGTTAGTAAAGCAGTGTTTAGAATTTCAAAGCTTTGTTGTTTAGAAATGTCACTATGATGAAATGATTAAATGGTTAAAATACAAATGCAAATAATAAAACATACAATAATAATTAGGAACAATTACTTTACAATGTACTTTTAACATTTGCATTAGTGCACAGAAAGAAATGTATAATTAAAAGACTACAGTATTCATCTTTTACTTATTAAATACTGTATTTTATTTTCCTTACATATAATCAAATCATCAATGTAAGATTATGATACTGTGAATAAATGTTTCAAGAATAAGGAAGGAGACTTGTAATGAAAACCTTTCCTACTTCCACTCACCATTATTTTAATGAGTATTATGCTTACCCAGCCCCATGTACTGTATTGGTAAAATCCTAGAAAACGAATAAATCAATAAACACGCAATGAAATGGTATAATTCAAATATAAAAAAAATTCTTGTAACTGACCTTATGTACAGACATAGGTATGTTGTCCAAAAGATATTGAACATCATTGTCATCTTGTACAAAAGCTAAAAAAAAAGATAGTTCTCAAATAACAAAGACAAATTATCTTCAAGAATCATTTTCAAGATTATTTTTTAATATTGTTAATACTAACAGTAACCACGTAATATTTTGATTTCATAAGAGGAACTCAAGTCTTTTAAAATACAAAAATATAACAGACAATCACTGACTTAGATTACGCTCAGCCTCATACAAAAACTTTAGTTACCATGCCCTTATTCCAAAATTTGCAGATTTTTGTCAAAACAATCAAGGCGAACACAAGTGAACCCAATGTAATAGTTAAATAATAAACTGCAAGAGAATGTTTAGTTCCTCCAAATAAATGGAAATTTTGTTTATTCATCACTGATGTGAAAAAACTGCAGTTGTCACTGAGCACAACACATCAATATTTTTTTTCTACTTATAGACATTTGATTGTTACAAAAAAACTGACGATTCCTCGACCTTTGGAAAAATAAATGGAAGTATCACAGAGGAGAAATCCTGACACACGTTAAAAACACTAAAGTTTGCACAGAATAACAACGCACGAGAATTGTTTCGGATGTGTACCATTGCAGTGCAACTGAAGAATGTTAAAATAGCGTAAATATTCGCTTACCATTATTGTGTCCATGTAAGGACGGTCGAATTTGTGACGTCAGCTCGAAAAACGTTAACAAGAGGAAGCAGTAAAGTACTTTTAACTCGGTCATAATAATTGTTTCACTGTGTTGTTTGCTGTTTTGTCTTTAGCAGAAATGAAAATCCGCTTTCGGCCATACTTTCGCCACTATCGAATTCTGGAGTATCGATTCTACTTCCGTCCGATTTGAAACGTTTCCACGAGCGAATTTCATGCACCTAATATGACGGAGACAGATTATATTCACTTCTCGCATCTTTTATTATTATATCGATACACTGTTGATATTTAGCGCTCGCCCATTAACGTATTTATCTTCTGCGCGATACTTTTCTTTGTCAATTTGTTGTTGTCCCGCTGAACAACCCTCGAACGTTCACGCGTTTGTTCGTTAAATAGAATTCTTTAAATAAATAGAATGACAACGTTGTAACCGAAATTGATTTTCATTTCAATTGTAAAATATCCGTTGGTACTCTCTATATATAAATTATACTATACTTTGTAATCTGTAATTTATATATTGGTCATGGCAATATGTTGTTAAGTATATTCTAAGTTTCAAGAGAAGAAATTTTATAGATTAAATTGCGTTGAAACTGATAATTTCAAATTGTAGGTACTTACAAATAAATCGTGTATTATATTTTTTTCTTTAATTTATGCCGACCAATCCTGTTACATTACCGTTAAAACGTTCTTGACTTCGTTAATCCATCTGTATCAAATTTGTAATTCCTGCATTTAAATACCAATCATACAATAGAATTATGTTTAATCAACATTTGGCGGTAAATTGGAAAAGTGTATTTAGAAGATTTTTATGAATCAATTATTCACTACGTTACATTAAATAATAAATTATATTGTCAATGTAACAATGAAAAACTTTAGAATCTTAAAAGAATATATAAATATTTATTATTATTTATTTAGGTACGTATTGAAAATTATTACATTATATTTAACTGTAAAATAAATCATGATTTTCTATGTGGTTGAAACGCCATCTACACGTTTGGTACATGCGGTTACCTTAACCTTAACAATAAACAAGTGTAACGTGCAGCATGTGAATTGTGATTGTTAAATATTATTATATTGTTTTCAAAGTGCACATTCAACATGCGGAGTACAACTTATAGTATGTTAACGTCATGTTTAAATATTTATTATATTATTAAAAAAATTATTATATACAGGTTTCTAATTAACGTTTATTCCTGATCCAATAGACAATAGGGGTGAAAAAAAGAAACTTTCCTGGATCTACAGGAGGAAAGCAAAATTACAAAAATCAAAGAATGCAGCACAAGGAATAAGCAACACTCCAAATGACAATAACAGACCGAGAATTATTATTCGTAATCTGTCATTTAAGGTTGGTGAAATCTGTGATCATGAAATGTAAAATTTTAAATATTAAACCTATATTGTACCTTGTCCATAGGCAACTGTAGATGATGTCAAAAAATTATATGAACCATTTGGCCAAATAGACGACATAAATTTTCCAAAACGGGCTGATGGTTCACCTGTAGGATGTTGTTTTGTTCAATTTAAACAATTAGAAGATGCATCAAAGGCAATATTTAATACAAACAAGAAAGAATTTCTTGGTAATATTTTATGTTTTTATGTACTTATTGTATTAATATTGTACAATATGATATTTATTAATTGTGTTAAACTAAACAATTATTTTAGGCAGAGTAATAAGTAGTAGTTGGGCAATATCAAAGTCCAGATATAATGAAAAATTGAAACAGGAATCTAAAGAGAATTTAGATGATACACAAAACACAGATATAAAAGATGAGGAAGAAGTACCGGAAGATAAAGACAAGGATAAAGAAAAAGCACCTAAGAAAGAGAAGCCAGTACCAATAAAAAAAGAACACAGAAAAGTACACAAGGAGAGGAATACAAAGAGAGCAAGAATTGTTATAAGAAATCTTTCATTTCAGGTAAAAAAATATTCTAAAGTAATGATTATCTTTCTAATTGATTCAGTACAATGTACAAAAATGATTGTGTTTCTTTTAGGCAACTGAAGAAGATTTAAAACAACATTTTTCTCAATATGGAGAAATAGAAGATATAAAGATCTTAAAGAGAAGTGATGGAAAAAATGTCGGTTGTGCATTTTTACAATTTCAGTTTGTACAAAGTGCAGCTAAGGCTATACATTATGCAAATTTACAACCACTTCTTAATAGACCTATTGTGGTTGATTGGGCAGTACCTAAAAATAAGTTTCTTCCAAATAATGCAGACACAGCGAATGAAAATGAGGTGAAGGTGAAGATAGAGAAGGAAAGTGATACAGAAGACACATCAGAAACTGCAACGAAATCAAATTTAAATGAAGAGTTAGGTAGGTGAGTAAATGTATTGTGTAATACTACCTCCAATTAAATTTAATTAAATTGTTTTTAAAACATATGTAAATTTATTCTTTAATAGTAATAAAGGTCACATAGATGTATCTATAGAATCAGATGAATCTGACAATGAAGATGAGAAGGATGTAGAAATGAAATCAGAAGGTGAAACTTTAGACAAAGAATTATCTGAAGACGATGTAGAAGACATAGATGAAGAAGAAGAAGAAGAAGAAGAAGAGGAAAAAGATATCAAGGAACAAAAACGTCCACGTTTCGAGTCTCACGACGTCTCCGAAGGAAAGACTGTGTTCTTAAAAAATGTGCCGTTTTCTGTAAAAAATGAGCAATTAAAAAAAGTCATGGAACAATTTGGACCCGTTTATTACGCACTTGTATGCATGGATTCACTCACCGAATACTCAAAGGGTACAGCGTTCGTTAAGTTCAGGGTAAATTTTTGTATTCTTTCAATTGTTCATACATAATATGTTATAATGCTGTGAATGTCTAATTAAGAACTTCGTTACAGAATGTTGAAGATGCTGAAAAATGTCTGGCTGCAGGAAAAGAATTGGAAATAGATGATCAGATAATAGAAGCACAAAGAGCGTTAGACAGGAATGAGATTGAAAATAGAGCAAACTCGAAGCAACCAAAACAAAAAGACAATAGAAACCTGTACCTCGTAAAGGAAGGCGGTAAGATACAAATTTCAAGCCTTGATCTTCTAATAATACTTGTACTGAAAGTGAATTTATTGTTCAGTTATAATGGCCGGAAGTCCCGCTGCTAAGGGAGTGTCGGCGGCAGACATGGCGAAACGGTTGCAAATAGAGCAGTGGAAATCACAGATATTGCGAAATTTAAATATGTTCGTATCCCGAATAAGACTCGTCGTTCACAATCTGCCACCTTCGTTAGATGATACAAAATTTAGAAAAATGATTGAACGTTATGGACCTGCCGGAGCAATCATTAGAGAGGTATCTTTAAATTCCAATGCATTATATATGCTGAATAACAGTGAGAAGTAAAGGAGTAATAATTCAACAAAATATTTGCCAGGCACGTGTCATGCGAGATCTGAAGAACGTTGACTCGAAGGGAGTGGGAAAGTCCAAAGAATATGGATTCGTTTCGTACACGAAACACGAGGATACTCTTCAAGCATTAAGAAACATAAATAATAATCCAGATATATTCAACCCAAACAGAGTATGTGTATTTTTTTAACACTTGTTTCTTACTTCATGTGTTAAATTCTAAAACATCTTTTTACACAGCGACCCATAGTGTCCTTTTCAATAGAAAATCGAGTAATGGTGAACGCTAGGCAAAAAAGGATACAGAGGAGTCAAGAGAACAATCCTACATGGCCAGGGTACAAAATGAAGAGGCAGCAGCAAGAGACAAACGAGAAAGTCCCGACAAAGAGATTCAAATTCGGGGAATCGAGTAAAGTAGAGAAAAACGAGTCGAACAAAAAGCCATTTGCAGGAGCGGTTGGGAAACCGGGTGAAAATAAATTACGGTCCAAGTTCAAATTGAAGAACCAAGCCGCGGTGCACCACGAGACAGTGAAGAAAGAGAAGAAACTGAAGAGGACCTCCAAAAAGCTAGAAGAGAAGAGGAAACTCAGAAAGGAAAATAGAAACGAAGTTAAAGTTAGTATCACACCAAACCATCACAATGCTTCTTACAACCCACGATTTTATTCCTAATCGTTTCACTTCTTTTCCAGCCCGTGCACAGGACAAAATTAAAAGCCGAAGACGTAAATCTAGACAAGCTTGTAAATAGTTATAAGAATAAATTAAAATCGGTAGAGTTAAAGAAATCGAAATGGTACGAATCATAGTGTTCACGCATAGGAAGGTTCGCCGAGACATTACCATAGTCGTCGTTCACCTTGTAAAAATAATTATACAAAATGGAAAATACAGAGGTACACCCGCACATATACATTAACTGCCTATATTTCAGCTGAATCGATTCCTGCCTTATTCCTAAAACACATCACGTTCTGCAGATGTATGTTTATAGTTACCGCTGATCACATGATACACGTGTTCTCGCCAATGACTGATGCTCGGATCCACGTTCTCCAACCAATAAGACAGGCCGTAGGATCCACATGGTAGGGGAGAACCGTCGAGAGGGACTATTCAAACTTTCGAAATTCTACACTCACACAAATGATCATTTCTTTTGTCTTACTCGCCCATTTGTCGTACACCGAACACTCTGAAAGATCAGTGAGGCAGATGTTGGAGGATCCACGAAACGAATTGCTCATGATGATAAGAGGTGCCCGGTGCTTCAGGGGCGCTCATTTAAATTCGTTGACTTTTCCCCTCCTTCGTTTGCCCTCCCACCTGTTCTTGCTCTTTTCTTTGCGACGTTACCGTTTGTATGGTACTTAATAGTTGGCGGGAACCGTCGAAGAGTAAAAGGGCCTCTTGTACCCTGGTCCTCGGCGCCGGCACGCATTCATTCGGAACCAGTTGGTCGACGCACGATACGCGCACACCTGGGACCGGCTGGGAAATTCGCAACGCTGAGGTGACCCACGAAAATCGAAAGTGACTGGGATTATGTACTGCTAGGAGATCACTTGATGTCTAGGCAACAATAGAGGCAACAGGTGTTTTTCTAATTCATAGTTCTATAGTTTTGATTGCTTGCAACCGCATCAATAGTAGATTAGCTATGGAGGATGCTAATCAGATCAAACTAAGTTAGATGACAAGAGAAGTGATGACTGATCAGCTGAACCCTTCAGTCTAGCCAGCAAGTGATCCCTTAGCAATACAGTATATTACCTTGTAAGTTGGAAAGTTTGTTGAAATAATTATGAAAGTGAAACAATAATAGAAGAGGAAGATCGGTATCCTAATGGTGATGGTGGGATTCAGGGAATCTATAAATGTGAAGTCTATTATAAAAAGAGAATGGGGGAGTTTACTGATCATTTGAATTTGAGACTAGTGACTGTGACAATGGTTGATAGTTCTTTGTATAAGTGGAAATCAATGTGCTCTGGTATGTACTAATTGGTATTGAATATTTTGAGAATCTTCTTTTGAAAATGACAGTGTCTAACTTCGTTGAAGTCTAGTTTTAGGAGTGATTATAGTTGCATATGGATTTAAGGAAGGATTGTATTTAATAAGGGAATAAAGTGGTCAGTGTTCATTCGTTTAACATATCTCTAATAACGTTGAACACGTGTAGAACAATTAGAGAATTGGCGGACTGGAAATTTGGTCAAGGTGAAGTCTGCGATCGCGCGCGTACTTGCTGTTACCGTAATCTCAGCAACGGAACATTTGTAACTGAGGCTCTTGACGGTAAAATTCCTGTTCCTAGAAGAACTCACGTTTTTTAGAAATTAGATTAACCCTTGAAGTCAATCTTGAAATATTCGCAAAGAGTCAAAAATGGAGCATAAGCTATCTTTTTACAATTTCTTTATAGAAACCATAAACGTGAGTTTATTAAGATTTCAGTTAGTTTATATTTGAGTTTAGGTATTACTGAATCTATGCTGAATTAATAATTCTAAATTAAATCATTCTAAAAGGAGAAATAGGAATTGGTGGTTTTGAACCACCTGGGTAGTTCTAGTGTCAACGTTCAACTAGTGTTAATGTATAGAACAGGTGTAACAGAGCTGTTTACTAGATTGCAAGCAATTTATAAAGGAGTCTACTATTTCATTCAGCCGCTGGTGACATTGCGGCTAGTTTCATTTTCAAACAGTGAAACGAGTTCCACGAACGATCCGAGTTATGAGCACGAAACGAGCGTACCGTAGTTTCACCTGAAAGGGTTGCCGTGGCATTCGAAAGAAACCGTGCCTTTAGTCTCGAACCGGGACGAGCCTGGTGCACGAGCACCGTTTCCCTGTAATTACAGCATTTTACCAATGAGAACCACCGACAGATTTCATTTTCACCGGACCTGATTCTCTTCGGTCATCTTCTTTAACCCTGCTATCTTCTTCGAATCTTTTTTGACCCAATTATGTTTTCGTTTCTTTGGCAGTGATTTCGAGTTTGATATTATTAATCTAGGAAGTTTAAATGATTGTCAATCTAATGATTTTGAATTATTGCTAATCCAGTGATTTTAAATGAGTATCAATGTAATAATTTGAAAGTATTGTTAGTGTAGTAATTTTAGATGGTCAGCAATCGATTGATTTCAAATTATTGTCAATGTAGTAACTTTAAATTACTATCAATGTAATAATTTGAAAGTATTGTCAATGTATAGTAATTTTAAACGGTCGGCAATCGATTGATTTCAAATTATTATTGATCTAGCAATTTTAAATGACCATCAGTGTAATAATATGAAAGTATTGTCAATGTAGTAACTTTAAATGATTAGCAATCGATTGATTTCAAGTTATTATTAATCTAGTAATTTCAAATGATTAACAATCTAATAATTTCGAATTATTGTTAATCTAGTGATTTTAAATGACTATCAATCCATTACTTTCGTAAATTTATTTAAATAAAGCCACGAGTCCTGATGTTCATCGACTCGGCAAATGAGCAATTCCTGTGCGTCGACTCTCAATAATTTTTTGTACACAGTTATACTAAAAACTTCAGCAGTCTCGAATTCCCCGACGTCATTCTATGTTTTTCAGGACAAAAATGAGCATATTAAGCGGCAGATTCGCCGGATCCTTATCATGCCGCGCCAGACATTTGGTTAACATGCGGCGGGCGATGGAGACGTTGGTCACCGAAATCGAGGAATACCAGTTGTCTCGATGCCGGCCGTACGACGAAATTCCTGGACCGAAACCTATTCCTCTCTTAGGCAACACATGGCGGTTCATTCCTTTCATTGGTACGACACCTGATTCCTGTCCTATTTAAATTCTTCAACGTTAGAATTAGAAATCGGAAAACACGCGATATAGATAAGTTCCCTGTCCTTTCTCTTGTATCGCGTCCAACTCGTGACGAAATTTTCAGCTGAATTTTAAATCTGTTAATAGTATCTACTTGTTTACTATCAATTTGATATCAATTTATTTATTCATGTTATCCGTTTATTTTTAGTATGAACGAACTGTTGAATCACGTACAGATTCTTTTCTTTTTCTAAGTTATTAACCATAATGGTGGTCTTCAATTCAATTGGTAATTTAATTTAGACAATTTTGAATCATTTCTGAGGGAAACTGTGACAAAAGATCACGAATTGAGATAAGTCATTTTTCATCTGGTGTTTAGTTTTAGCGTTGAATTTACATGGTGCCGCTCCCTATTTTTCAGGATCGCTGCACTCCTAAATTAATTGGCTAAATGATAACGAGCGATTCTTTACGACTGTCGGCAAGCATAATTAAATATGAACGCGCGCTCCGTTAACCACGAATGTATAAATTAGTGACTCACTCGGAATGGAATTGCAGAGCGTTTAGAAGTCTCTGAACCGATTGATTTAATTGCGGCTGAAACTTTTCATTCCTCGCTAGAAACTTGTGTAATTAATTTACTGCTCGCTTCGCGGACAGGCAAGTTAGAGTCGGCTTAACGATTTGCATGTAACAGAAAAAACCGATTTATTATCTAAAGAATGCCTCTTTTGCTACATTGACTCTAAGTAATGTAGATCCTTGTATCACTTTGTAACGTACTTCTTACTGCCATTTCGAAAACCGCCTGAGAACGTTGGACAGTCAGACAAACAGTGGAGAATTATTAAAATACAGAAGTATTTCTAAAATAAAATATCATTAAACTGAAACATGAAATGTTTAGTTCTTATCAAAGTAAAATTTACTGAACTAAAACATGAAATGTTTAGTTATTATCAAAGTACAAAGTTTACTGAACTAAAACATCAAATGCTTAATCATGATCAAAGTACAAAATTGTTCCTAAAACCATTAGCAAGCTAAATTTTCCATCATTATCAACGCAAAAGATAATTCAAAATTAAATTTCTAACTCTACAAGTTGCCATAAGAAGAAACCATAAATATACAAACGAAGAAACATTCAAATTCGCGACATTCCGCATTATCATAACCAGAGTGTCGCGAATTTGAATATTTCTCCGATTATACACTTATACTTCCTTCTTATGGCAACTTGTAGAATCAGATATTTAACGTTGAATAATTCTTCGCGTCGCTAATAATAGAAAATCCAATATTTCAGTTTGCCAATGATTTATTTCAGGAATAATTCCATACTTTAATATATGCCATAAGAAAACGATACTCCACGTCCATTTTCCAAAGAAATCAAGTTCACCGTTACACTAATTACAATTCTGCACAATTTTATCCTTCAATTTTCGAATCTTTAAATGGACTCAAGCGACTTTCAACATAAACGGTTCACATATAACTTCGGTGAATATAAACGGAGAAATATTGAAATTCGTGAGATTCTACCTACGATAATGTACAAAGAGTCGGCCGACAATGACCCAATTTCGTACAAAACGGACAAAAGAAACTCCAGACGATTTGTAACGGAGACGCGCAGACGACCTTGGCTGATTCACGAATTTGAGTTACAGGCGACTTCAAGATCCAGTCGATAGACCAGGTGTCGAAGCGTCTGCACGAGGAATACGGGGACATCGTGAAGATGGGGGGCCTGCTGGGGAGGCCCGACATGGTTTTCATTTACGACGCGAACGAAATCGAGCGTATCTTCAGGCAAGAGGAGAGGATGCCGTACAGGCCGTCGATGCCGTCCCTCAACTACTACAAGCACGTGCTCCGAAAGGATTTCTTCCGTGGTAACGCGGGCGTGATCGCAGTGTAAGCTCTGAATACCGGTATCGCCGCCGATCGATCTTGACCTCGGCGTACTCCGTAGCATAACCCTTTGCACTCGAAAGTTTTTCACTAGAAATATTCAATATTTTCCGATGTTTCTGTTCTTGCTGTTATTTAAGCAATTAATGTACAATGTAGCTTCATCTGTTGATGGTTTTGTACATTTCAAAGGATCTTCGTCCGTGAAGGGTTAACACTAGATTTATGGACGTTTGTTCTATACTTTATTCTATTGTTCCTAGAAAACTACGTGTACTATAGAAATCGACTTGAACTGTTACTAAATGTTTAAAAAATTCAGTATCCGTCGAACTGACGGGTTCCGTAAATCTAGTGTCAATCTTGTTCCCTTAGTTTTATAATTGTTAAGAGGATAACCGATTTCTCTTTGAGAAATCAAAGAAATTGATTCAGCAATAGGCAAACTGAATGGTAAATCAATTAGTCTCGGTGGATGCACTCTTCAAGTTGCTATAGAGAGATTTCAAGAAGTTGATTCAATTCAAATCTTAATCCACTTACTTTTCTATAGTCTACTGATTTTCAATCGAGAGACGAAATTATTCGGTCTCTTAATTGTTTCCTAAATCGATGCTTTACAGCTCGACGCACCTGCTGGTCCTTCACGAGCAGAGGCAAAAGTCGAGGCGAGGTCGATGACACCTGTCGATAGGTCATAAACTGGCCAATTCGAACAGGTATCTACTCGGCAGTCGAAAAAAGTATATTGCAATCGCCGCTGCAGTTCGAACCGTAGAAAAAGAAATTCTCCTTAACGTTTCTAAGAACCATAGAAGAAACTCTATAGCAAATGTCAGTAAATTCTATTCGAGCTTGGTACTATTAAAAAATAGTACTAGTGAAAGTATCGAATTCTTCTATCCATAGAAGACCTTGAAGCAAAACCATTAGATAAGAATTGAAACGTTCGAACGAGCGCAGAAATGCAGTGTCATAAAACGGAGATTGTTTAAAAAATTCATGTAGGTGTTGGCATTCTCCGAGGTAGGTCAGAGGTAAACGCAACGATCGCTGCAATCGTTAGCCAAGCCCGGATCGGCGATTCCGCGAATATTTCAAAAGTTCCTGGCTCCGTCAATCTAACGATTGGAAAACGCAATTAGCCGCAGCAAGGGATATCCTAAAAACGGGAATTGTCAACATAATTGCACGTCACGCGTCATTGGATCGTTGTTTTCGAAACGAATCCAGGAATTTTCATATCGGAGATTGTGTAAGTTAATCAGTGAACTGCGCTTGACGAGTACAGTCGCCATTTTGAAAGCGAAAGTAACCTCTTCAATTCATTATTTATTTTTCCAACTGTAGTTCTTGTCATTCTCTTCTTTATTCTCTTGTTTTGATGTATATTAGCTGCATTCGCTGCATTTTGCTCGGTTCTATCGACAGAACTTGCGAGCGCCGACAAAATGGCGGATCGCAGTTTCCGTATTTCTCCATCGTTGATGTTTTTGAAGCGTTAAATGTTTGAATTGATTTTAAAAGTAAATAGTTCCACTTGAGTACTATAACGAGTATTCAAAAAAGTCGAGGAAAATGTATTATTACCATTTTTATAAGGATTACATATTAATATCACTAAAAACTCGATAGTTCTAGCGATCATCGGTGTTTCATTAGAGAACGATGAATATATCGTGAATATTATTAACTACATTCCATGGTTAACTGGTTAACAAAGAATTCACGGAAGCCGTTTGCGCAAACAGTTCGATGTACGCGAATATTTCGGTCTATCACGCGACGAACGAGGTTGTCGTACGCAACACTAGAATAATATTGGACACGCGTCGCCGCGGCGCGAGGATGTTTGCAGAATCCATTACTTCTTATGATGATCAAATATTGACGAAGCGATTCGCACAGCTGCGATGCGTAATCTTTCGCTTGGCAAACTAACGGAATGGCAAATATTTGCGGGTCTCGTTGAAGCCTGACGAGTGCGGTCGCGTTGTACTTTCATTCTCGCACGCGCACGCTTCGATCTGGGATCATTGCAATCCAGAGTTTTCAGGGGAAAGATGATTTCATGATCATGTTCACGAACGCGGTGCAAATACTCTACGAAACAAGTGATTGAATACTTAATGCGAAAACAGCTTAAATTATTCATATGAATATTGATAACTTCGGATAACGACTGATACCGGTACATAAATCGTTTCAAATGATTGAACAGTTCTACCGTGATAGTTATATTATGATTATAATAATCATTTTACCGATCAGTTTCTACAGTTATTGATAATGTTTACAACTATTTGTAATCATGACGAGCAAAACACGCCTCGATCGAGTATCGAGAACGCAACTATTACCTAACGGCCGTAAAGAGAAATCACGTTATAGAACCGGAATCCGACACCGCCGCGTATTTTCGGTAAGGGCGTATTAGGAGAAAGGGGTCGATGCAACTGCAACTCTAGTTGTCATGCAGGAAACGGCAACCCGACTGACTGTCCATATCTGGTTGCACAACATTTGGTTTCGTGCGGGTCGAGTGACGCGCGTCTCGCATGTTACATTTCGCTCGCCCACGTTTCAACCGGATTTGTGACGTTCCTATATAGTGATCGCATACAGTGATCAACTGTTGATTTAATACCGAGACAATGCATATAATAATTTTTCGATGATAAACGGATTACATATTTTCATTTGTTTCTAACGACAACGGGAAACTAGCACATTTGTCAATTCTAGTATCGGTCATTCTTCAATTAAACGATGATTATTTTGAAACTTTTCTGTATTACTAGTAACACTACCTAATAGTGGCATTCAAGATAAACTTGCAATAATAATGCATTTCAATTATATAAAATGAAAATAATCTAATATCAAACGATGTATTTTTCTCAAAATGGTGCGGCGCTCGTGTTAATATGTTTACGATAGATAAAGCGTCAAGACATATTCATTTCGCTAACAAGATCGTATGAATAAATTTCCATCCGACATTTATGCCTCTCGAGGATCGTAACTCCGATTCATTTCGCTAAATGATTCCCGTGCTTACTGCCCCGACGAGTCGTTCCGGCGGACATTATCATCTCTACGATGTGATAACTCACGTTTAACATCGGTCCCCGTGTTCATAGTTCAAGGTCTAACGAGAGTCCGGACATTTCATCCTCTTCAGCCTGTCGCAGGCGTCGTCGCCTTTCACTCAACCCTCGTTCAGCGGCGCGAATAGCGATAGTTATTTCGCTGTAACGCGAAGAACGGGGAAAATGATTTGTACGTTCGAACGCGGTACCGTCGCGACGAACATTGAATCGGAATGATTGGGAAACGGTGAGGTAAATTATAGTTCTCGTACGTTGCGACAAAAGCTTCACTTTGTTTCTGTCTATGAAAAGAATAATTCCATTGTGGGATTAATTATAATATTGTATCAGACTCGTGAAGGTATTAACAAAGCTTAATATTAAATGTCAAGCTCTATAATTTTGCTGTGTCTGAGTGCAAAAGATTAATCGTGTTGTTCCGAAAAGAAAGATGGAATCCCATGGGTTCTCTAATACTTATTCTTTAATAACAAAGCAAATGATATTGAAAATAATTATCAATAATTCAGTATCACAGTAGCCATATCATGCTATGATCTAGCTACTTATATTACTAAATATTCTTATTCAAAATCAAGCTTGTTATTATAATTGTTCTTCAATTTGGAAGCTCCGTGACAGTCATCGTATTAACCAAATTCCTATTATTTCCAACGAATGCAAAAGAATCGCAGAGCAAAGAGTTAAACGCGAGAAACTCGAGACTAATCGTGTTGTTCCAAAAAGAAAGATGGAATCCCATGGGTCCTCTAACGAGCACGTTTGTTCCAGACACGGCGAGGACTGGTACAACTTCCGGAGCAAGGTGCAACAGGTGATGCTGCAACCGCGGACGGCCAGAATGTACATTTCTTCCATCGAAGAAGCGAGCTTGGCATTCCTACAAAGGTTCGCCGACAATTAGTCCCTCCTCCCTGGACGAGTTCCACGTACTGAAACTCATCGGGGCTTTCCCCGCGTTTCACTCTTTCCTTTCTGTTACCGTTTTTTCTTCTTGCCCGCCATTCACTCCGTTCCATTGAAGCGGTTTCTATCGGTTTTTCAGGATAGCGGCGATACGGGACGAGCACGGCGAGGTGCCCGACGATTTCCTCAACGAGGTTCACAAATGGTCCCTCGAATGTGAGTAGAAAGCGGCGTGTCGCAAGACTGGCTGTTTTAGGATCCTCTTGGGATTCCTTTCGTTTTGTTCATTGGTGAAAAATAATTGAATCTTGAAACGAATGAGATTTTCAAGCTTTTACAATTATTCATTGAGCAAGTCGATTTCAGAAGATAAATAGTATACGTTGAACGAATGAATTTTCATCGAGCAAAATACGCACAATGGAAAAAGTGTAATATATTATATTATGTTAGAAATGTTTTCAAATAATCATCGTTTCATTGAGTGAACTACAGTAAGTCAATTTGGTTGACGAAACTTAGTTGAAGTTAGTTCTATTAAAGGTTTCAACAGCCGACGATAACTTTCTCGTGTGTAGCCATTTTGAATGTATAGATCTACATGTTTTGCCGTAACTCTGATACATAGAGATCTCTCGCTTCCAATTAGGCTATAAAAAGTAACGGAAGAATGACGCGGCAGATTTCTAATGGAATTCCTGAGATAATGGTACATCATCAGCGGGCCGGTCATCGAGCGGGCACTATCACTCGTAGGCGAAAGTCCTGCTAACGGATTCGAATTCTGGCCCCCGAGCCACGAGTCGCTCGTTTGCGAATGCTAAGAGTCATTTGAAGTGGCACGGGTTTATTCATGCTGTCCTTCAATTTTTTTTTTCATTAGCCATCGCACGTGTAGCACTGGACGTTCGACTGGGCTGCCTGGACGAGAATGCCAACGCGGAGACGCAGGAGCTGATAGACGCCGTCTGCACGTTCTTCGTCAACGTGGGAGTGCTGGAACTGAAGATCCCATTCTGGAAGCTGTTCAACACGCCCACCTGGCTGCAATACGTGAACGCTTTGGACACTATCGTCAAGTAAAACCGAATTAACGGTGGAACTTACAGAATGGTCAAATTGGTCCAGGGATTCTAAAAGAGAACTAAAAAGAACTATAACTACAATCTCCTCCAATATCTTCAATTGAACTCATTCAGAGAATTCAGTTAGAAACTATGTTCTGTAAAAACAAGAACAGTTTTTGATGAATTGCAAATAATCCCACTTGAAGACTTACTAAATAACAGAAGGAAAGATATACAGAGTAAAGGGCAATACCTTGCTGAGTGAAAAGTGGGAGATCTCCCCATACTGTTAGAGTTTCTGTATAGAATTTAGAGATTTGACTGCTTGATCTTTCTAGTGTTGTATTAACACTTGAACTTGAACATTTCTTTATGAAAGCTATAAGCATGAATTAAGATTTTAATTCAAGTATTAAGTGTCTGTACCTTTGCAGACATTATGAAAGAGGAAATTGGGAATTGGTTGTTTTGACCTACTTGGTAGTTCCAGTGTTAATTGTTAACCTACTGTTTACTGTTATCGAACAATTCAACTGAGTCTGAATGTATTTGCAGCACGACTTCTAAGTACACTGCTGCTGCACTTGAGAGGATACGCCAGGGGAAGGACAATGCCAATGAACCTTCCCTTTTGGAGAGGGTATTGGGGCTTGAAAACGATACCAAATTAGCTACCATCCTATCCTTGGATTTGTTCCTAGTTGGAATTGATACTGTTAGTATTTTAGAGTACCAGTTGTTTACACTAAAGTCTTCTATTTCTATAATTGTATACAGTGAGAAAAGATATTCATACACTGGTAATCCTTGATTTCAATTAAAAATTGTTTCTCTTTCAATTGAGAGAGTATGATCAGTAACATTGTTTGCAAATGATTCTAGACTTCTAACGCGGTGGCATCAGTACTGTATCAACTGGCTCTACACCCAGACAAGCAGAATACAGCATATGATGAAGTCTGCAACGTGCTTCCCAGTGAGAACATGCTGATCGAAGGGAAACACTTGGACCAATTGAAATACTTGAAAGCATGCATCAAAGAAACTCTGAGGTTTGCTTTAATCCCTTAGACTAACAATAATTCATTCATCACAAGTTTCAACAGGGAATCATAGTCTTTTGCCTCACAATATTATTGTAGTCTATTAAAATTCTAATATGGTTCAACAAACGCAAATGTTATGAGTTGTGTTGAGTTTACATTATTGTTCTTATTAGCAATTTGTATGGTTTCTAAATCTAGAAAGAGCATGGAATGCTTTCTTTTCTAGTACATCATTAACGGTAAATAGTTCTGACAAATGCAACGAAATTAAATCCTAAGGCAAGGGGTTGACAAAGGTAGAAGGAAAGAGCCTTAAACTCTTCAGTCATCCAGTTGATCTTTAATCCCTTGGATAAGCCCTGTTACCTGAAAGCATTTACTGCCAATAAAAGTGATTTCTTCGCACAGGAGCATTTTCAAGTTAACACACCTTTCTGTTCTTGTAATCCTAGTAAAATTCCTGACAAGGGAAACGATTATTAAATCAACATTTCTCATCTGCAATTGAAAGCATTCCAACTTCTCTATGTATATTCAGAAGACACACTGTATACTTCTCAGATTACCCAATCCACAATCACATGTAACACTAAATAATCGTGTCCCCATCTTTCACCAGGATGTACCCAGTTGTAATTGGCAATGGACGCTGCATGACGAAAGACACGGTGATCAACGGATACCAAGTGCCCAAAGGAGTAAGAGACAAGGAACAATTAACTTCAAGCTAAACTACCAAACCCATTCTCTCTTCAAAACCATTCCAACTTCAAACATCAACTGACACAAATTTACATTATTCTTCCGTTATTCAACTAGTTGCCTAATTACCTATATTTTATTTCACACATTCTGTGTATCTCCAATTCACAATATTATACACATTTCATACTGAAAGTACTAGTTGGGACACCGACGAGTCCACCACGAAACAGGATATTCTCTCATCGGTTCTCTCCTCGCAATTAGGTGCAAGTGGTGTTTCAGCATTACGTGATAAGCAATTTGGACAAGTACTTTCCGCGAAGCAAGGAGTTCCTTCCAGAGAGATGGCTGCAGGCGAGCGGCGTGCGTCACAGTTTCGCCTCGCTTCCTTTCGGATATGGCAGAAGAATGTGCCTAGGCCGTCGATTCGCTGAACTGGAAATGCTGGTAGTCATTAGCAAGGTAATCACCCGCGCCCGATTTCGCGAGATATCAGAGGAATTGAATGGCCAAGCTATCGCGTGACAACGGGTAATCTTACACGGTACCCATGGGAATTACGTCCCCATTGAGGAAACGTACGCAACCGACGACGAAAACGAAGGTGGACCCAGGTTCTTTGGAAGATTTTATTGCGGCATACCTGACACTTTCCTTGAGTGCCGGTCCCCGTTAGTTCCCTCGGTGGTCACAGTCAATGCTCGTGAACAATAAACGCTGTGTCCGAGCCGAGAATCCGCCGTTTATTGCTGGCGACAGGCAGGATCCGCAGGGTGCCATTAATCTGTCGCCTGAGCAACGCGATAATCCTCACGGTTACCTGAGCAAACGCGGACCGCGGGGTCACTTTTACTTCCCCTGACACTTCCTGCGTTGCAATTGTAATTTCTGGTTCTTCTCTTGGGTAGTTGGAATTTTTATTGGCTGATTTCTTCTATTCTTGGATGATTTGAGTATTAATTGATTGGTGTCTTCTATTCTTGGATGATTTAAACCTTAATTGATTGTTGTCTTTTGTTCTTGGATGATTTGAATCTTAATTGGCTGATTTCTTCTATTCTTGGATGATTGGAACCTTAATTGATTGCTGTCTTTTATTCTTGGATAATTGGAATCTTTATTGGTTGATTTCTTTTATTCTTGGATGATTTGAACCTTAATTGGTTGATTTTTTCTATTCTTGGATGATTTGAATCTTGATTGTTGTCTTGTATTCTTGAATGATTGCAATTGGTTTCCTTCTATTGTTAGATGATTAAAGTTTTCCTTCCACTTTTAGATGATTGGTGTTTCCTGCTATTTTCAGATGAATCGTTGGATGTATAAATATGATTACACTGTACAGTTCTATAAGTTAATAGAGATTATGTAACTCCTTTTATAGCATGCAGAAAATTGAGAATCTTTTGGAGATGTTCTCTTTCTTGTGGATATCCTATAAATATAGAAATTCAATATAGAGATAAACTAAGGGAAACATAATTTCTCTTCTGGAAACAGGTAATAAATTACTCCACTGTCGTAAGGTTCATATTGTTTTCAATGTTTTCAATCAGGAAATCCGAGGAAGCAATAACGCTAATAAAAGTGAACGGTTTCTTCGACCGAGGGTCCCCTATAAAATTGGGGACATTACAAATTGGAAACTGTTGCGGTTTATTGCCGCTCGAAATTCGGGGCATCCCCAATTAGCTAAATTCTACCCCTCTAAAAACAAAACATAAATGCTACTTTCGTCGCTTATAATATTTATAATCCGCGCTATTGTAAATCTTAAAGTTATTCATTGTAATTTTATGAGCATGAAAATGCTTGGATTCCCAACGAACATAGAACGGGGATCTTTATCGAACAAGAAATCGGTTTCGTGCTCCTCGTGCTCGCTTTCTAGTTCTTTGCCCTGGAAATTTCACTTCCACGCTTTTCCGTCATTTCCCAGTACCCAATTAATTATTGAGGTCACAGTAAACGAGAATCGTTACATGTAATGACAGAAGAATGGCGAGAAAGCGTGAAAGAAGTATAAAAACAGCACTTCGTTCAATTGTATACTTCTTTCTAATCATCTGGATCTATAGAGTCTTACAACGTTGTTAATATACAAATATTTACTTCATATATATAAGAGATTTTACTCTTGTATGAAAGTTGAAGTGTAAACATATTTTTGTTACAGATACTTCAACGTTACAAGTTAGAATATCACCATGAGAAGCTAGAGTATTACATCAACCCCATGTACACGCCGAAGGGACCATTAAATTTGAAATTCATTGATAGGTAACCGTATTGAGGCAGCCGACAATACACGGCACTTCAATTATTTATTTGTATATGTACAAAAGTGTGAAAAGGAATAAATGGACGGCTACTTTATACATTTAGCGATACTTCTGAGATGTGTTTATTATTTATTATCTCCGTATCACCTTAAATTTCAGTTCACCATCAGGAGCATACATGAATGTAATTTTATACTTCAGTGGTTTATGATGGTACTCCAATTTATAAGATCGTATCAGCTGAAATATAACAAGAATAAATATAAAAAGAACCTTCACGTTAACCTCTGGTCTTACACGAATCTAATACAGTTGTTCCTATAGGAAATAATTCATTGAACTGTAACAGAAACTTCTGCCAAAAATTGGTAGAGTATTAGTTTCTTAAATAATAACATTGTTACCTACCTTGGCAAGCAATACTTGTATTTCCAAATCGGCGAATCTCCTGCCTAAACACATGCGTGCACCATGACCATAAGGCAATGATGCGAATGGATGCAGCGTCTCTTTTGTAGATTCTGTGAGCCACCTCATAGGCTTAAAGGTTTTGGCATCTTTCACGTATTCCTCCATGTTTCCTGTCACGACTGTGGGGAATACCACCTGTATCTATAACAGATTAAGTTTACATTTAAGAAAAAGGTCATTTGGATCTGTGAGAATAATAACTGTCAGATATAGTGAATGGTGCTGTCATTAAAGGCTCATTACTTACTCCTTTTGGTACCTTGTAACCACAAATTACAGTGTCGTTCTGCAATGTCCTGCCATTTCCAATTACTGTAGAGTATACTCTGAAATGTGCTATCATGAGTTACAGTTCTCACTACTTAGTCTACTTTATACAATCGTTTCTCATTTCTCACAGTATGTCCTTGCACAAGTCATTATCATTGGGATGGTAATTATTATACCTATATACCTAAATACTTCACGAATGAAAGCTTTCATGTAAACTGCCTGATCAAGGTGTTGCCTGGTGAGAGGAACAGACGGATCTGGAAGAATCTCTACGAGCTCCTGATAAATCTTCTCCTGCTCTTCCGGTCTTGTCGCCAATTGATACAGTATGGAACAAACAGCCATAGAAATCTGCAACATGAAATTAGACATTAATAAACGTACCCTTCATCTCAAGAAGTTAATGTTTGCCACATACTGTATCTATTCCAACTAGAATCAAATCCAACGCAAGAATGCAGGCCATTTTAGGGTCAGTCTCTTTAGCCAAGATTCTTTCTATCAAGGATAAATCAAACTCATTGGCAGCTTGTTTAGTTTTTAACCTCTCCATTGCAGCATCAATGTATTTCATGCATATTCTGAAAAATACAAGTATCTTCCATGAACATATTATTATCTCTCAATACATCATCTACCAGTATCAATAAAATGTCACTTACTCAACAAAGTAGTCCATATTGCGTACATAGTTTGTCCACAACCGAGAAGGTAAGTACCGCCAGAAAGGAGCTTTCAATTCAAGCACAGCCACATTCCTTAAAGCAAATTTCGCTGCGTCGATGATCTTCTGGGGTTCTGAATCTGGAGTCAATGTACCTCCTAGACATCCCAATCTAACATCAAGAGCTACTCGACCAATGCCTGCAACAATACACTAATTAATACACTGAATACTATCAATATAAACAAGTGAAATACATTATACAATAGATTGCATATTTCAATTGAAATTAAAATGTATACCAACACTCTAGAGCCCATTTGTGTATCTCATTGTCAAAGTCTCCTGGCAGTTCTCCATCTTCCCTTTTAATTTCCTCGATTCTGAAACAAATTATTCACAATCTTATAACAACGTTAACAATATTCTATCTTAAACTTACAGCTTACACTCTTTACCATGAAATTAGAGCTTGTAATCTATAAGGATCACGTTATATCACATGTTTATCCATAGAAAAAAAAGCAAGGACTGATGTTTGAGTGAAATTCTGGCTTCCCAGAGGATCAAGGACATTAATCAGCATATCTTTGGAGCATGAGATCACTGTTGATCACCTTTTTATGAAGTCACCGGTGACCACCTCGATGGGTGTGATGTACTTTCGAACAGTCTGCGGTTGGAGAACTGGTTTCTGCACGCGGGTACGAAATTCTCTCCAAGGTTCACCGTGTCTGGAACAGGCAAATATTTTATTATGTCATTCTGAAGTAATACTGGCCGTTTAGCTGAAGGCTTGTGACTTATTTGAGGGTCAAGGAGAACCACAGTTGACTGACACGAGTTCGAATACTTCAGTGCAGTTGGATACAAATGAAGGTAAACTTCATATTTTTCATATTAAGTACCGTGAAATTAGATATCACATTTCTCAAAGATATTTCTATAAAAAGTGAAGGACGTTCTTGAAGGTCCTTGATACGAGGAGTGTCGAGTTCAAGAGTCATCCAGCTTTAATTCTTTATCATACAATGACGAATGAAATTTGTGACGTTTTCTAGTTAATTTCGTAATCGTTATTCACATTGCAATATACAATTTTTAAATTCCAAAGTTCAAACCTGAAACTTTATAGATACCATTAACCCTTTGAACTCTGTAGGCTCCAATATTGCACCAGTTATAATATTAAATATTTTAATGAATCAAAGGAACTACCCTAAAATTATTAGATTCTCCAAACTTCCAAATTTTGTACTAAGGAAAATAAAAGATCGAGGGAATGTTGCATTTCTAATTTTTGCTAGGAATACTATAAAAATTAGTTACAGTTGCTGACAGATAACAAAACCATCTGTAGCGCAAAGGATTAAATCATTGTAGAGTTACAAACAATTCAACCTACACCCCAACAACGCCAGGCAAGCTACCAAAGAAGTCCTTCCTGACGACGCTCTTGTACCGGACCAAACACGGCATCGACGGTCTGAACGGCGTCGGTCCTTCCTGCCTGTAGATCTTCTCGATCTCGTCCGCGTCGTAGACGAACAACAAATCCGGTCTGCCGATCAAACCGCTCAGCCGGCAGATAATCCCGTATTCGTCGTGGAACACCTGCGACACCTTCGCCATGTCCGATATTTGATATTGCCCGATCACCGGGAACAATCTCCAAGTGTTCCCGAGAACGGGGATCGGTTTCGGGCCGGGGATCTCCTCGTACGGCCTCGTCTGGACGGAGACATCGTGATCGAAGCTGCAAATCCGCGTCGAGGTCACCGTACCCGCGCCTGTTGCACAGCGAAAAAACAGAAGCCGCATGCACGATGAATGCTTGATCAACGCGGATCGATTTCGAGTCGCGTTCTCATACGAATGGACAACCGCGTCACGAAATATGCGCTGCATATCAAACGGTGGAGCGGAGTAACCGATGAAAATTGTTTAACCGATTAACCAGTTGACTGACGAGTATACATCGTAAAGCTTGACATGATATTAATTCTTTATTTTTTTATATAAACATGGAATTCTTTGTTTCGCTTTGATCTTTCATTATCACGTTGAATGCACTATTTCATATGGTAAAATACGCAAAATGAAGAAAATATGATATTAAATCATTTGATTATTATTGCACGTTCATCTAGTTGAATGTCACGAAATTAGATAGCATTATTTGTAATATAGAACTGTTTTCAAATAATCAACGTTTCATTGAATGAACTATAGTAATCCGATTTGGTTGGGGGTCACCGGTGACCCCCATGGCATTCAACGTGTCAAATAAATAATATGAAATTATATAAGAATTACCAGGAATCTGTATGTAACTAAATATTTTCACTGAAATTTCCGTGCCACGGAACGTGTTAATTAACGCGTTAACCGACACGGTGGTTGCCGGTCACTGGACCTTCTAAACTGTTTGAAAGCAATTAGAGGATGAAGTGTAAATATTTCGTTATTTTTACCCATGCATAAGTTTCGCCGGAGCGCGTCGCACACTTGGGGAAGCCCCGTCTTCACAGTGAACTGCAGCTGCCGATTCATCCTGTGGAACGAAGAATTTATTATCACAAATCAATCCGAAAGAGCAAATCTAAAGATTGTTACCAAATACAACCTTTGCATCATTAATACTAGGTTTACAGACGTTTGTTGCACAACTCATTCTATTGCCTCTAAAACCAATGATGTTCATTAATCAGGATCTTAGAAGTTAAAGGTTTAAAGACAGATAATTGCAGTAATTACTAACTGTAACATTATCAATCAATAAATACAACCTGTGCATCATTAATACTAGGTTTACAGACGTTTATTGCACAGCTCATTCTATTGCTTCTAAAACCAATGATGTTCATTAATCAGGATCTTAGAAGTTAAAGGTTTAAAGATAGATAATTGCAGTAATTACTGACTGTAACAGTATCAATCAAAGTAAACATCCCATTCGCCATTTCTAAAACTCACCATCCTAACTAAACCCCTTGCCCAACAAGTGAGACTCATGGTGAAGATTTTCAACATGACTCAACAAATATATACATCACTCAGTTCATTCCAATTAAAAGTAAATATTCCTCTGTAATCAACTATGATACTTAACAGGAAATATAGACATAACATATGCTTAGGATTTTCCTCTTTCCACTAAATCATTAATGACGTAGCCGTATCAGAGTTGAGAAAAAAATCAAAGACCAAGAGATTAATTACATAACTCTCAATCAGCCGAACAAATCACGAACCCCATTCAATCCCAGAAAGCTCCATAAACCTACATAATTCCAAAACGAAACCCCACAGCCCCATTTGCACATTTCACAGAATCCTCGATCCCAGCATCAAACCCTTCCATCAATAAATACATCCAGCCTTCTCAACACTAGGATCACCGGATCATTATCCCTCCCAGCTACCTGCGATCCGTGCAACGCTAAATCCCATAATTGCACCCCTACCTGGCACACAACGTAGAGCCAGCCGGCTATGTCTGTTTCCGCGATAGCGAGTGTCCCGTTATCGAACGCAGGCTGCTTCACCGTGGCGAACAATCGGATGACCGGTCCGATCGCGTTACCATTCTAACTTTCTACCATATCACCGGGCACGCGTGTCGTGGATCGCGGGTGAACCGTTTGGCACCTCTGCACGCCGGGGGACACTGCAACGCTCGGTCGCTGAATAGCTGGCGATCGAAATTGCCCGCGGATGCACCCGCAAGTTGCGCGCTGTTCACAGCACTCGAAGCAAATGGGACCATAGGATCTGACCGTGTGAACCCCCCACCGCGGATTAATCTCCCACCAGTTGGTTAACGGTCCGAATTCTCTGCCCCGTCGTGGATCCGCCGATGGGAAGAGCATTCCGCCACGATGTCCGAGTCACTTTCACGCGGGACTCGTTTGACCCGAATTTTTACTCGACTTTCTTCGTTTGGGCCGTGCGTGGTCGGCTGGTCCTTCGAGGGTGCCATTTATGAGCTGGACTTTGTGAAGTGTTTCACATTGTTGGGGACTGACGCGTTGACTGCCGTGGTTAGCGACGAATAGCTTCTGAATGATTGGGTAGAATGGTTGGCTGAAACAGGGGATTGTTAGCGATGAATCTAGATCTGATTTTGATGAGTATTTCAATGGTTTGGTAATGGAATTACTGTAACAGTTGGAATTACTTAGCGAAGATTGGAAATGAGTTTGAGAGTAGTTCTTGGATACTGTGATGAATATTTGGAGAAACTGAAAGTATCTATTGTTATAATTTTATAATATAAGAAATATATTATAATATAAGCTATAATAATAGAAATATATTATAATATGAGATATCTATAGTTATAATTTTTGTGGGCGTTGAACTATGTATATAATAATAGAAACATATTATAAGATATCTATAGTTATAATTTTTGTAAATTGGAAATTTACAATAAATCGTTTGTTCAGCGATAAGTGATTATTTTTATGTAATTTCATGAATATTTTGCATTTCTTAGATGCTGTCTTATGTTGTGTATCTGTCTTAAATTGTATGCGCTTTTTTCTGGCTATGAATTTTGCATTCAGCATGTATCCGACGCTGATTGAAATGTTCGTTTTAATAGCAGGGAAGGTAATACCGAAAGGTCGCAGCAAATCTTCCGGTCTGAGGGGACAGACAGGTAGACGCCTCCGAGGATTTATTGTCTTTGAACGGCGTCGGTCATTCTCCTCGATGACCGTGATTATCCTGATAGTACCGTTGCTTATTCCACGGTATCAATAATCCATGTACCTTCCCGAATTTTCCGGAAAATGTTGTATGCCAACGGTATATCACCCATTGCATGCTCCTGCCGCTGTTGAACACTACCTGAAAGCAATATTTTATTTTTTATAAGCAATATGTTTGTATTTATATTGTCTACGACACTTGTATTGTCTATCATTTTTAAAAATTGTTAATAAATCAACAAACTATTTCGTATATTACCTTAATTTATATTTCCTATGACACTACTATTACCAATAATGTTTAAAAATTGTTAATATAGCATAATAACTATTTAAATCATTCAAGTGTTTCATATATTACCTTAATTTATACTTCCTATGACACTCCTATTAACAATAATGCTTAAAAATTGTTAATATACTGTATGTTGTCTCAATTTATACTGTCTATGACACTCTTATAGTCTATAATGTTTAAAAATTGCTAATATATCATAACAACTATATAAACCATCCAACTATTTCATATGTTACTTTAATTTATACTTTCTATGACACTCCTCTTACCAATAATTTTTAACCATACGATTGTTTCATATGTTCCCTTAATTTATACTTCCTATAACACTCCTATCACCAATAATTTAAAAAATCGTTAACAAACCATCATAACTATATAAACCATCCAACTATTTCCTATACTACCATACTTTACATTATTTAAGACACTCATATTGTTTATAATTTCTCTCTCTGAACATGTTCAGTTATAATTACTAATTAAACACTCCACCTAGCTAGTACTCCCTCAACGTCGTCCTCCGAGGGCGCGCAGTGGGGGTAGCTACCCCTGCGAATATATTAGGAGGCCCAGCAGGGTTGACGGTTCACTTTGCGCCGCTCAATCGCGAAACGTTTGTCGTTCTATTCATTTCCCATGTCAGCAACAGTTACAGTTCGGTTACTCTTGAAACGGCAACATGACGGAGACACTCGGACGACCTCGTTGGTAAACACGCGTTCGACATCGGACCGTTCATAGTTTAAAAAATAGAGTTCCCAGTCGCGATAGAATTCTATCCTTCGTCCCGTTTCTCCCCTCCGGGTTTTTCTGATTCAAATTTCACCAAAATGACTGTGTCAACGATGTGGATTAAAAACAACATGCTGTTCTACGACCAATACGTAAGTGTTTCAAATACTTTCAAAGACTGCAAACGCAGTTCCAATTTCTACAGATCAATCATATTTCTCTTTCCTTCGAAGTTCACAATTCTCGTTGATAGAACTCCTTAGAATTCAGAAATCTGGAATAAGAAAATTTAGAATATCAATCCGTTCAATTTCGATTCATTAATTCTTTCATTATGTACGTTAGAAATATTTTATAGCTCGTCAGGCGATTTCTCTGAGTTAAAGCTGTACAAGTGACCAAAACAGGAAAATATAAAAACATTCTCGCGAGGTTTACCGAAACAAATCTAATGACACTGTTAGGCAGTATCTATATATATGTATCATCGGCTTCAATGGAATCTTCTAATTGGCGTATAGTTTCCTCGGATCGCGTGCACCTGCGGAAATTAGGTAGATTGGATGATCTCGTCGTGAAATATTAATTTTTATGGTGTTTTACAGGAGAGACAACTTACCGAAGCAGAGATGAAGGTACGAAGATCACTGGAGAAGCTCTCGATACCGGACTGGTACTTGAACAAACGTTCAAGCCCGCCGAAAATCTTGAACAACATTCCAATCGGATCTCGTGAGCCGTTTTGGAAGAATGCCGACTGGAAGAATTCCACGTTGAACTTGACGACATCTACAATATCAGGTACATATCGACTCCTTATTTCACATTTTATTCTATTAAGATTACTCTAAAGTACTCTTAAACTAAAAAGAATTCAATTCAAGTAAGTGTTTCGGAATTGAGTTGATAGCTACTGCACGTCTATCGTGTCTTTATCGAAAGATCATTATCTAACGCGTTAAGTGCCACGGAAGTCCTAAACGTTTTCTCGTAGAGTTTTTCGTTTGTAGCAAAGAATAGCAGGAACAATTATTTGACTATTATCAACTTAGTTACGTTATTAAACATTCTCATTTCACATCGATTATCTTGTATATTACGATTATTTTGTCATTCGGCATCAATCACCAGTGACGTGGCGCTTAACGTGTTAAAACGCAAATGTTTTTCAACGATAAATTATTAATCTTTTCAGCTAAATGTTTGATTCTCCTTCATTTTGCCTTAGTTTCTCGTTAGAATATGTTGTAGATGCATTTGTTCTGCGTTCAACGAGTATATTTATTGTTTGATTTTATTGTGCGCACGACGAGAGATTTTCGAACTAAATTCCACAGTTAACTGGTTAATATTTCCTAGAAAATAGTCAACTATCGATACTAGATCAATTTCTTACACCTCCGACATCTTACTATACTAGACCAATTTCCTACACCACACACCCCTTTACCACGCGACAATTTCAATAATTCCCAAAATCTTCGCAATCCCTCTAACAAGCCTGTTACCCAGTTACAGACACCATGCCAAGAGAGCAGCAAGCGGCAAAGGACACTCCAAACAAAGGCACGTACAAGGTCTCCCGCCAGCAGAAATCCCCGGAGAAGCAGAAGTCTCCGCCGAAGGAGAGCAAACTGGAGGACACGCGGCTGCCGGAAGTGAAATCGAAAAGGAACATCAGCAAGACGTTCCCAAAAGTATCCCCATCTCGGAAGATCCAGAACATAAACATCGTCTTAGTGCCGCGACGACCGCCGATCAACCTGTCGCGCGACCTCGAGGACACCGACGATTCCCCGTGCAAGTACAGCACGTTCAAGGTAAAGAAGCAAGAAAGACAACCAACCAACACCATGGACAGCGAGCAACCGGAGTGCAAGAGCTGCGACTGCCACTCGACTCCGCAGAAGCCACCGCGGAGGATCAAGAACGACAGCTCCTGGACGACAGACGCGAACAGCGTGCTGAAAACGCCGAACGCGAAGGGCAACTTCAAGGTGCGCGCGGCGTCCACGCCGAAGTTCCTGCCGGTGAACCTGTTCGCGTCGACGATCATCGAGGAGACGCCGAAGGCGAAGAAGGTGCCGTCGCAGCGGATCCTGGAGAAGCTGTCGATCTTCGAGGACACGCTGCGCTCGAGCGCCAGCGACCGGTCGTTCGGGAGCGCCGGCAAGCCGAAGAAGCTGTCGCAGAGCATGAGCGAGAAGGCCTCCGTCTTCGAGAGCAGCTGGCGAGAGGAGCCGTCCACCAGCTTGAAAGAGGCGAAAGCGAGGAGCTTCCAGAACACCTTCTTGGAGAGGAACATCCGGTCCGTCGACCCGATCATGTTCGAGACGGACACGCCGGCCAGGTCGTCCTTCGTCCGCGAGATCGTCAAGAGGGTGGAGGCGCCTAACGCTTGCGAGAGGAACTCGGAGTTTAGACGAGCTCGCGATGATCAGAGGGTTAATATGAACAGCATGTTGGGTTCGCAGAGCGTTAATAAGAATCCACTGAACCAGGCGAGTCCTCTGGGTCGAGAGAAGGGCAACGCGGAGTCGCCTTGTACCAGGTTCCTGAATTCCAGGAGGAAGTCTATCGAATTGGAGAACGTGGTGAGGAGCAAGCAGCCCGCTCGCGAGAGGAACGTGGTGAGGAGCATCATCGAGACTCTGGCCGAGAAGGTGAGCAAGTCCTCGCTGCCGCGGCGCAGCGAGGTCGCCAGGGTCAACCAGAATTTCGTGAAGACCGTGGTGAGCACGCTGGAGAAGGGCAAGAAGAGCCGCAGGAACGAGGAGGAGGTGACCAGCTGCAGCGAGTCGGAGGCGAAGTCGTGCACCACGTCGGTCTCGCCGAAGGACACCGACAGCAGCGACACGGAGCAGAGGTCGCCGAGGGGCAGCGACGACAGCAACAGGACCTTCGATTACGACACCCTCGCGAGCAGCAAGGTGTCGGAGAGGTCCAGGCAGGACGAGGACTCCGTGTACTGGATACCAGTGTCCAGGTGCAAGCTGCCCAGGACCAGCTCCCTGATCAGCATGATGTCGAAGCTGTCCGGCAACGGACAGTCGCCCTCCGTCAGCCCCATCAGGAGCGACAACGAGATCGACAACTCGCGGGTGCACTGGGGCGCCACGTTCAAGAAGACCAATGGCTTGGCCAAGAAGCTCTTCAGGATCGACGAGACCACGGTGGTTGATTCTGGGTATTCTGACAAGTCGGACAGGTCGGTCGTTGGCTGCTCCATGACGGAGAACACTCTGTCGGAGGACACGCAGACCGAGTCTGGCTCTGAGACTACTATTGTCAAGGTGAGGAGGTCACTGAGGCGCAGGTCCATCCTGGGCGCTACGTTCCGGATTCAATGCTGATGGAGGGTTAGGTGGATTTGGAGATCTGGCAACTTGTGGAGGTCTTGAGTGCTTGGGGATCGGTCCTTGGATTGTCTGGAGTGCTTGAGGATCAATTCTTGAGATTGTCTTGAGTGCTTGAGGATCAATCCTTGTTGATGTCTTGAGTGCTTGAGGATCAATCCTTGTTGATGTCTTGAGTGCCTGAAGATCAATCCTTGTTGATGTCTTGAGTGCCTGAAGATCAATCCTTGTTGATGTCTTGAGTGCCTGAAGATCAATCCTTGTTGATGTCTTGAGTGCTTGAGAATCAATCCTTGAGATTGTCCTTGAGTGCTTCAGGATCAGTCCTTGAAATTGTCCTTGAGGCGCAGATCCATCTTGACGCCACGGATTCAGTGCTGATGGAGGTTCTAGGTAGGTTTGATAAGGATTTGGCAACTTATGGAGGTCTTGAGTGCTTGAGGATGAATCCTCATCAATATTGCGCTAGTTTGACACTAGGTTTACGTAAATTTGGACATGGGTTTGATAAACATTTCATAAATGTTCTAAGATTGATTGATAGTTGTCTACTTCGAAATCTACAGTTTAGAATATTTAGATCGTCAATTATTTGCGGAGATAATAGATTAAAGTATACAATAGCTGCCCGTAAACCTAGTTTTAACGTAGTAACGTATTAAAGCTTGAAGATCTTGAAACGACTGATAGGCGTCGCAGTATTTGAGCTTAAACGACTTCCTTGTTTCGGTAGCATTAAGAGATTTCGTAGGTGCAATTTGTTATGCCAAGCGTTCAAGTGCTCTTGAATAGGCAGCGAGAAACCATTGCAGTATTCGTAGGATAGTAGAAATTCGTGTTAATCTAAGCTACTAGATTATTCGGTTGGCAGGTTAGCGTAAGTTTTATCGATTATACCACACTGTTGAAACATTTGCGACAGAAATAAAAAAAAATATATATATATACAAGGAGATCACGTACATTCCGATACTCATTGATCCTCGCAAATTGTCTCGTCCGAAGAAGCTTTCACTTTTCGTTCGAATAGAGGAGACAGTATTCGATGCAGACAATTTCCCTTTCCAGTTGGCGCAACACTTCCGTCTCGGAGATTGTCGGTTTTATCGTTAAATGTAATCGTGTACATAATACCCCGTATTTCCACGAAAATACGTAGATCCTTTCGCGCCAGATTCCAGCCACGGAGAGAGCGCAGTAAGAACATCGTCGAATTTTCCAATTCAATTCCGTGGCGAGCAATTCCGAAATCTGGATTTTACCATTGACTTATTTGCCTAGCAGTAGATAATGTGACGCAAAACGAGACAAAGTTTTGCGCTAGTCGTTCACTTAGGTATGCCTCAACGTTCAGTTCACTCGAAGTTTCGAATCAGTGTGCAATCTGCGGAGATGATCGTTACATATGCCGAAGAATCGTGCCATTTGTGATATGTAATTGTAATTCAGCACGAGGAGAGAGAATTCATACCTAATCTTATGTAATTACTTGAACGAATAAATCAGTATTTTCGATAAACGTTACGAGTTGAATCGTCAACCCTTGTCCTATGATTTCCTGAACTGCGATCGATCTAACTTTTACTAACAATCTATTGAAAACAAGAGAATTCCCAAGAGAAAAACAAGATATAATTGATAACAGGAATACGTAGTTTGCATTTGAACAAACTGAACAACGTTCGTTAAATTCCATTTGAAAGTTTCTCAAACTACGGAACACTCAAATTACCTCTCCCAAATTTGTAGAAACTAAGAATCTAAAGATCTAATCTAAAGAACGAAGAAACTAAAAAAAATCTGAATTGATTATCTAATAATCGAGACAAATCTAGAAATGAATTCGATCTCGGTTCTATTGTTAAATCCTCAGTTTCCTTCAGTTGCTAATCGCGTAGACGTGAATAAACAGTTTATCAAACAATCTACTAATCAACGTTGCTCTATTTCCATATTACAAATTAACATACCGCCAGTGGGAACGTTCGAAGCAACGTGCCATTTTGTTTCGCTTTGTGTATTTTGCTCCGAAGTCGTCCGGCGACGTGTCAATCCGTTCCCTCTCAACACACACCGCCAGTCGACCTCTGTGATATTTATCATTAGTAGTAAACGGCGAATCGCAACACGATCAGAAACGTCGCAGTAAAAGCGTACCGCCGGAATCCGAACAACCGCGGAAGCAAGAGAGAATGAAAAATCGAACGCGATCGTGCTAAACAAAAATTGTTACGTTCCTCGACAACATCGCTTTCAACCCAGAGAACTCAAAAACTCAACGGAAATGGCGCCCGAACTCTGCGACCGTCGTTTCAAGTCAACGTCGAACATCCTCAACGAGGCGGCGAGCCGCGAAGACGAGTCGCGGGAGGATCTCTCCGCGAGGAACCGCTTCAGGACCTACACCTTCAAGGATCTGCGACAGGAGAGGAAGTACTTCGCGGAGAACGTTGTCCAGGAGCGGAAGAAGTCGCGGAATCTCATCAGGAGGCTGATCGGCTCCTTGGAGAGGAAGAACGAGGAGTGCAAAGCGGACGACGAGTTCTTCGCCCGGTACTACAGGAGGAACGATTACTCGGATCCGAACTTCGACCATTCGCTCGGAACGCAGAATTCTGACTTCGACGATCTGGTTCATGAAAAACCGATAGTTTCTAGTAACAGAGGAAATGGATCGCCTGATCGCTGTAATGATGTGCGACGATTCGAGAGAGGAAGTGTGGATCTCGTTGATTCACGTGATTTAAGTACTTCGGAAGGAATACTGGAGAATGAGAGTTTTGAACGGAGGAAGGACTCGAAGAAGAGGCTCGACCGGAAACGGTCCATCAAGGACTTCTTGGGGTCCATGATCAAATGGAGGAGGTCGAGCGCGAAGGAGACGCGTCATCCTTTCGTTTCCTGCGATCATTTAGCGGACAAGATCTCCGCGAAGAAGAAGGACAGGAAACTGCTGTCTAGGACCTCTTCGTTGAGCGCTGTCGACGGTTGCCAGAAAACTTTGCAGGTGAAGTTTGAAAACCGGTTGAGTCTGGTGTTTTCCGATTTTTGTGGATTTTAGAGTTTTGAGGGTGGATACTGACGTCTCGGCGATGCCATAAGCATAAGCGAGATGGAATGTTCGTGTTTGGAAGAGTAAGCTGACAAATGATTTAATTACTCGAACAGATCAACTGTTAAATGAGCAATCGATGTACAATTTAGCTTCGTTTCGAAGGCTTTTTATATTTCAAAGAATCCTCGTCCGCAGAGGATTAACTGTGGATTCTTTGAAATATAAAAAATCGAAGATAATTCGAAATGAAGGTGAATTGTACATCGAGTTCTTAGAAAGTCCTTTCTACAGATGCTAAATATTTTGTACAATCATTTCAGAAGCTTAACATTAGGTTTACGGACATTTATTATAAAGTTTATTTTATTGGTCTTAGAAAACTTCATATTCATTAATTTCCATTTTCGAACTGAAAGGTTTGAAGATTAGACGATTAAAATGCACATTTGAATTATTGTATCAATAAAAATCGACATAAGCATTTACTAAATAATATTTGCAACATTTGATATGCGTCAAATTGACGCGTTCCGTGAACCTAGTGTTAATTAATTTCCTCGATTTTCGTTTTCTGGGCTTATTTATTAGCATCTACTAACGAACGAACGATGAATTACATACTCGTTAAACGCAGGGCAAATGCACCTAGGATATGTTCTAACGGGAAACTAGAGCGAAACCAAAACGAGTTGCACGCTTATCTGGGAGAATAAATAATTCATTGCAGGAATTAGTGGCATTTTGAGCTTTATGACGTGTATGCTCGTCGAACGTGGTTAACTGGTTGATTTCCAATGTGACTGTTGTTTAAACTTTTGTTTAAATCAATTTGCAGAGTGAAAAACCGAAGGCGACGATACACCCTGTTTACGGTGGGAGGAGGAATGAACAACTTTTAGAGGTCTTGACGAGGAATAAGGAAAACTGGGAAGTCCCTGCTATGGAAAGGATTGTGGAGGAGCTTAGGATGCCGACAGGAATTAGAAGGCATAGCGACATGTTTTTCCCAACTAGGGGACCTAGAAAAGAATAAGAAGAGAATTGCTCGTTAGGGATAATTATAAGTAACCAAGGGACAGTATAGAAGAATTGTTATTATTAGACTATGTACTATTTATATGTATCAAGACGATTGACTGAAACAAGAAGTTAATGAGAAGCTAATTGAGACTTTGATTTCATTTCAATCCTAATGGCACTGTCAGTAGAATAAGTTTTCTGTACTTTTTGGGAATTAATAGATAGATATTTGTATTTGGAACGTTTGACAGTAGAACTACTAAGTAGGTCAGAGTGATCGATTCCTAATTCCTTCTTTTAGAATTACTGTAAAGATACATATACTTCTTTAGGAAATCACTGAGAAAGCTGATTTAGTAATATCTGAATTGAAATATAGACTAATTGAAATTTTAATAAACTTACACTTGTAGCTTTTATAAAGGAATCTTGAAAAGACTTATTCCTAATGTCTTCTTTTAGAATCACTGCAAAGGTACATATACTTCTTTAGGAAATCATTAACAAAGCTGTTTTAATAATATCTAAACTGAAGTATAAACTAATTGGAATATTAATAAACTCATGCTTATAGCTTCTATAAAGGAATTTTAAAAAGACAGTTTAAGTACTCAATAGTTCTAATATTAAATATTCACGGATGGACTGCAAGTGTTTATGGATTTACTCTACAAAATGGGCGGAAATATAAATTTATATAAATACCAGTAGACTATTTATAACAATAAGCATTGCGAGGTACCTTGTGATATCAATAATAGAGTTCAGTGGGCGCCAAAGTTGAGAACCACTGGCCGGACCAGGTATTCTCGTAATGACGTCCCTCTACGTGAGAACTTTCGATGATCCAACGGACAGGCTGTGCATGTAATACAGTGCTGAGTAAATATATGTCAAAACTGATCAAAATTTATCACAGTTAACCTCCGCTCGTGTGTAGTACAGTGTTGTATTACTAAGCGAAAGATCCCAATAAGCTATGCAGGAATTTCCGTACGTCTTATCAGAGTACGAGGAAATAAATTCGCTTCTTTACAAGCCCATCAATTCTACCCAACGGATCAAGGTATTTTATCAAATTCTGAGACTATTCTTATATGATAAATAGAGGAATTATGCTGTGTGACAGTCACGGTATCAGTGACGTCTTTACTTTGATTGATTTTTTCTTGTTCCATTGTTATCGTGTGTACACCTACCAAGTGCAGAGTTCAGTGACACTGACGTTGTTATGCAGTCGTCTTGTGTTATATTCGAAACTGAAAGAAATTATTTAGTGCAGTGGTTGTTGTATTTCATTGATAAACATAAGTATCATGATAACGCGAAAAATGTGTTGGAAAATTAACACTGATACTCGCGAATATCTTTTATAAAAGAAACTTATAAACTGTTGATAATGTAATGACCAATTATCTGTTTATTGCTTTACAGTACACATGCTTCAATGCGTCTCCCAATTATATTGTATTAGGCTCAACCAGTGGCAGTATCTACTTGTTTTCAAGGAAGCCATGTTCTCTTTTGCAATTAATACCGTTATCAGTATGTTTGTTTATTAAATCGAACGTACAAGTAGTTTGTAATGTGAATAACGATCTATTACTTCTGTGATAACAGGAAGGGGCAGTCTCTCGGGTTCTGATATCACCTGATGAAAAAACGATTGCACTAGCAACAATGCGTGGAGTTGTTTGTTTAGTAGCTTTAAAGCCTGTACCGAAACTGATAGCTGTGTCAGCTGAACACATAGATGAACAAGTTAACTGTCTTTGTTGGAACGATAGTAGCTCTGAAGTGTATGTTGGAGATTGGAATGGTAAAATTTCAATTATGGTGTTGTCCATTTTTACGGTAAGTTTTTCCTGTTACTTTTAAAATCATTGATGACTGGTAGTCAAGGCATAGAAGTCGATAGTAATGATATTAAAATTGAATATTTCAGGTGAATGGTATGTTCCAAACACCAGCTTACACTTTAATGGATTTAGATTCAGCCATTGTGCAGCTCAGTTTCTCTTCACCATTATTATTAGTGTCAACCATAACGCGTTGTTATATATGTAACACGGTACAAGAACATTACAAACAAGTAGGAAACAAAGCGCGCAATGGGGAATTTGGTGCTTGCTTTTATAAAACATACCTTACAGAGAACAGTAACGCTACAACTGTTCAAAAGGAGGAGAAACTAGTCAATAAAAAACGTTCTTTTAATTTCATTCCCGAGGGAAACAGCAATGAACAAGTAGAAAATATTCCTCAAATCTTTTGTGCTCGACCAGGCTCTAGACTTTGGGAAGTGTCCGCAAATGGAGTGGTGATGAAAACTCATCAGTTCAAGGAAGCACTAGCTGTTCCACCTATAACGATATGCAAATCAAATCTCAAGAAATCTCTGCATCAGAAGCAACCGGATCAAACCTGGACACCGCAGTCCATCAATTTCTCACATTTATTCGTTATTGCTAAGAAGTATTTGTTTTCCTATACTTCTAGAGGCCTATATATACTTGATCCCGTGTCTGCCACCGTGGTACTATGGAACAACGAATTCCCGAACATAAGTATGGCAGAGACTGTGGAGAATAGGATATATTTAATGACATCTGCCGGGGAATTTCATTGTTTGACTCTGTCTTTCTTGGACTCCTTAATATTAAGACTGTACAATAAGAAAAGGTATTACGAATGTTTAGAAATATGTCTTCTGCACAAAGTACAACTGAAGAAGTTAGTAAGTGGCCTGGAAATCAATAAAGTATGCAGTATGGAGAACAAATTACAGATACTTAACGACGACGAGTTGTCAACGCTGTTACATCCTTTAACAAATCTCCTAGAATCGAATCGTAAGGCGATCCCAAAAAAATTGGACTCAGGTATTGTCGTTGTCAACTCTGGTAATTCCATTTTGAACGAAGAGGAAACTTTTAGGCACAAGTCTATGTCTAACTGCTCCTCGCAAAACTATGAGGCTTCCGGTAACATTGAATCAAGAGAAGAAAATGAAACGTTAGCTCAACAGTCAGCGGAACGCGCTAATGAAATTAAAAGAACTGAAGATGCCAATTGCAATACCGCGCATGAAATAGAGAATGACGAAGCGCCGGAGGCGAAGGAAGAAGTGAATCCGAGCACAAGTGCAATGCAAACAATACAGGGAGACTTAGAAGCTATATATACGTTAGTTGGTAATATTAGGCAATCTATGACCGAGGGAGAATTGGAGAATATAATATCAGACGTAGACTGGAGGATGAATGTCATCAAAGACTTCTACGAAAGTCTAACCGACGTGAAAAGCTTCCTGTACGAAATATTGAGGAGCGCAGAATTGTATTACTTCAACACTTTGTTAGAAAACATTTCTATGCACTTACTTCAATCGACGGATAATATACATATTACAAAGCAAATAATGAAAGCTTTTATTAACATAAACGCTCAGAATTATAGAAGGTGTACCTGTGGTAGCGCGTATTCAATAAATGAAGTAATAGAACCAAAGTTCCTGGGGGTCGGTAGATCCCTTCTTAAAAAGTTTATGAATGAAAATAAAGAGCAATGTGTAAATTTATGTAATAGAGTACCTTATATGTGGCGAGAGTATTTGCCAATGTACGTGGAGCAGAATGGTGTACTGATGAATGATTTGCTGCGTCAGTGCCTTCAGATTAGGGACAACGTTGTACTGTCCATTATTTTACCAATGTTGAATAGCAAACACTGGAACCTTTTAGCAACATATGGAAAGCAAACGCAGGAGGGACAGTGTTTATTCTGTGGAAAATATATAAAACACGGAAACAATGAAACGTTAGAATTAATAGAATGGACTGCTGTGATACACGAGATTATGAAAAGGCAGGGACCTGATTTCGCCATGGCACTATTATTTAAGTTAGAGAAAGCTATACCAAACGTTTCTATTGACAAAAGGTATTACGATATAACTCTTCTGTCAACTTAATCAATCTGTTCACCTTGTGAATTACAAAACATAATTACTATAAATTATTGCAGTGTATTCCAATCACTCATATTTACAAAGATCTTGTACCAGCATGGTATGAAACGTATCATTAACTTTACCAAGAGCAGCCTTGATTCGTCTGAGTATAATACAATGTGTTCTGCAAAGGTATTTGCTTTTAAGTACAAAAATATAAATGCTGTATGTGGATGTTATAAAGAAAAAAAATGTATGCATTATCTTTTACAGGTTCAAGATGAATTGGTGGAGGTACTTGAAAAAGATTTAGGTAAAACGGTCGCCAAAAACATTTTCGGTAGCGGGGCTCATCATTGGGGAATGCATTATCAAAATAAGTTTTCTACGTGTCCCTGCTGCACTTTGTCTCTTCAGACACCGGTTTTATTAGGTAATAATGGAATCGCGATATTTAGTTGCGGTCATGCTTATCATGTGAACTGTATGATCGAGAAGAAACTTACAACGTGTAATCTTCATTCTTAAGTGTGTATATAAATATATATATATATATAAATATCTAACAAATAAAAAATCTCATAAAAAGACATATATAAGCATATAGGCATATAGTTGGTAACAGTTTTTAAACAAAGAGAAATTAAACGTTGCTCATCTAGTCATGAAGATACAAAAACTTTTTTATACGTGATTTCATAAAGAATTTAAACAATTAGCCTCGTAAGCGTTCATACAAATTTATTGTCTCTATACAGATCTTACTCGCAGACAAATTTCATTTTTAACAATGAAATGATACATGAGCTTAAATAAATACTCGTGCCCAAGTTGTCTATTGTGATATAATTAATCTATAGTGATGTATAAACGATATAAAAATCATCTTCGCGAGATACGATTTTGTCTCGTACAGAACCGAGCAAATAATTCTGCGAACCTCGTGTACTTGTTCTATTAACGAATAATAAATAGGAGTTACAATTCGAATATAAAAGTACATACACATTTCTCGAGATAAATTATAACGTTGATGTTGAATTTGCTGATATTTCTAACTACCGTTGAAAATCAAATTAATTCTATATAGTTCATAGTTATAATTTCTGCTATATACATCTTAAATTTATTTTAATATGGTTTAGAAAAATAATATTTGCGCTCTTTCATAATCATGTACATAATTTGTACTTTTTTCCACTACGTATTTCAATATATTTAATTAAACAATGAATTCTAGTCTCAATTGAACACTTACCTTATTTGATAGTATCTATTGCTTATGTTAACAGAATTTATACAGAGTGAGGCATTTAATCTGTACTCGTGTCAAAGAAATCCCTCTAAAGCACACAATCGATGCAAACACTCAATACACAGTAGCATTGGATCATATTGTTATAAAATTCGTAGCGAAAAATTATAACACCGATGTTCCAATTAATAGGCTATAATATACAAGTAAAATACGATGGAATAAGTTCTGCAACTTAATTGAATGTTCACATGATTATTAGCTATAACAAGACGATTCGTTGTTAGCCGTGCGTTCAGGTACTCAGGTATCCGAGATATCAAAATTACCGTAGAAAATTAATATTACAAATAGCAAAAGTTGCGATACAAATTCACTAAACTAAAAATTCTCGAATCGCAAATAAAATACATGGAACCTAGTTTTTCTTCTATAGACCTAAAACTACAACAATGTCTTTCTTTCAAATGCACATCTAAATATTCAGTTCGACTTCGATTGCCGTAAGTTAATTGAATCAAATTGGTGTCTATATTTATCATATATATGCTAGTAACCTTGAACGATCAGAATTTGTGCCTCTCACTATATCCAAAACAAGGGGTGCGGTTTTTAGGGTCACACCTAGCGAAAAAGAGGGAGGAAGTAGCGCAATGACTCCCAACCTACATAACCTCGACCCATAAAAAGTCGCTCAAATGATATGTATAAACATCATTACCTTACTTCGATAATCGTTGTTCGAAATAAAAATGTTCCAAAAGAAACGAAACACGTTCTATCTGTTTTTTACAAATCGATTCCACTCGTAATTGATCGTGACTTTACTCTAAACCGTTGCCTCGTTATATACAGCGAGATAAAAGTATTCATGCTCCTTTTTATTCTTAATATTATTTGCAACGTAACGTCCAGTTAAAAATTATTCTACAAAAGTTCAACTCTCGGCGTACACGTCGATCGAAAGCAAATTTACACCGTTGCGTATGAATACTTTTTCTTTCGTTGTGCATATAATTTATTATTTACAAGTGTTCGAAATGAAATTTAGTTCTCTCTTTCCGTATCAGCGGAAAGTATGAGATGCCTCAATCTGCATAAGGTTTTAGATAAAATCTGTATGTACAGAAACTTACGGTAACGAGCCAAAATATTGTCGAATGTCCGAAATTACCATAAATGAACGCGAATTCTGTTCGATTAACATCTCGTTAGTCACGCAAGGATTTGCGAATTTTAATTGATTTTACTGGCGATCGTTGGTCAACGAAACAAACAACAGCCTTTTTCCTTCTGTCGCATGATACTTACATCTATTACAAAATCTTACAACTTTGATTATGCATAGCTTTCAGTTGTTGCAATACAATGTAACGAACCTAGTCATATAAAATACTATTATCTTCTCTCACCGTATAAAACAAGATATTTAAACCTACGTCAAGTAGAATATTGCATGGAAGCTTCACGTGGCCTCACCACTGTAGAGAAATCAATTCAAGTTAATTATTGCTCTTCATCGATTGGTAAATTGTTCCTTTAATACGTGAGAATTCGATAAAAAAAAGAAAAAGGTTACTTCCTCCGACCGAGGCAGAAACGGCGAATTTGTTCTCAAATTCACATAAATACAAAGCGACGAATTTTGATATTATATGGACACATGGTATTCATAAAATTATTGTACGACGATGCTCAAATTTCTGTGGATTCGTAAAAATCGTTTCGACTGTTTCTGAATATCACTGTCGGATGAAATTTGAACATCCGTTGGCTTGACATTTTCGACAAATCGCGGAGACTACCGTGTTGACAATATATCGTTGAAAACAATATACGAGATTCAGATGTTTACATATTAATTTGCGGTTCATAGAGAAACATCCACAGCAAGAAGTTACAACTGGTCAACACGTTAGCGATCCACGCATTTGAATCCTGAAACGCAGCTTCGACTCTTTCTCAAGATTTATAATGCAGCTTACACAATTAAGACAATCATATATATCTACAGACTAGACTTGGAATGACCAAGAGAAGATTGTAAGAACAAAATTTTAGCTCGTGTATCGTCTATATAGTCGCAAACATATCTAATGAAAAATATTATACAGAAAAAAGGTGGGTCTAAAGTGACTCAGTTAAAGCTATATTCAATTAGACTTACCCCTCAAAACTCCATACATATTTTCTCCAGGCAATCTTTCTATTTCTGACTAATTGAATATGACAAGGCTTAAGAGAAAACTATAAAACATGCTATGTGAGAAAAGAAAGACGAGAACGAAAATCGTAAAAGTTACTTCGTGATAATATATGTATATATATATGTAAGTATTCATACGTTAAAACGCACTAGACACCCAAGAGAAGTCGGTTTCCGACGACGTTCGAAATAAATGCAGAGCGTAATGCATCGTGACGCTTAACGCGAGTAGATTATAGTAATCGTAACAATTTGTTTTCCTTATCGTTAGCATTTTCCTGTATCCTTCAGGGGTGATAGGACGTAAATACTTTAGAACCATATATATATATATATATATAATTACAGTTTTATCTAATCTTAGCTCTGTACTTAATAAAAAACCACAAAAAGAATGTGTATATATTTTGACTTTCTAATACCTTTTTTGATACCTATATATGCTTGCAATTATGTACATTAAAAACTCGTTTTGATATCTTAATGCTTTTGCGAGATCACAGAAGAGAATTCATATTAACTTACACACGTAACGTTTCATACTTTGCTGATGCTCGCGACCGAACGTCCGTACAACTACTTATTTTAAAAGTTTCATAATATTAAAAAAGTATATAATTCCTTCGTGCCATTGAAGTATATATATATAATGAGA